GGAATACAAAAAGTTTCAAAAATGGAATCAATTAAAAACGTGCGAGAAGAAGTTTTTAACCTATCCTCGCTGTTAAAGTATCATTTAATTTAATTTTATCTACTATTTTTGATAGATATAAGGCAATTTGAACAGTTGCTATGGAAAAAAAGTAAATACTCCTACTGCCTATTTTTTATTGTACAAAACAGTCAGAATCCTTAATATTGAAGGAAATCCTTCAATTCTGAGAACACTGAGAACACTGAGACCTCTTCATTTTTCTGTATACTATTTTATTTTAATCTAAATAGAAGACGTTCTAATTTGCTCAATATACAATAACTCACCGCATTAACAAAATAACTGGTAGATGTAATAACAAGTATTTGCTGAATTTACCTGATAGCTTGCTTCCGGTGCTGATAATATCCAAATAACTGGATCTTCTGCTATTAATGTCAGGTGGGGAACTGGTCAAAAAGGCGGAGGCGTCTTTGCTGAGTCTTCTTCCGATTGAACTGCTTCTGTCTGTTGCCATGTTTTGCGAATTGAAGACGCTGTCGGTGCTAAATCTGATTTAGTCAGACAAAATTACTTTGTACTTTTTTTGACACATATCACTTATACTGAGACTACACATTGAGAAGCATATTGCAAAGATACCAAATTGTGGATTTTGACACGCGGTTTCTAAAACAACCTAAAATTTGTATTAAAATGCTTTGAATAAAAAAAGGAAGAAGTCGATTAGGAAAGTTAAGCGACGTTATCTGATGTGAATAGATGGACGGGTGAACGTTTGGAAATTCTGTCGTGTTATTATTCCATGGCGAGATTCTTTTGTCGAAAAATGGTACTTAGTATTTACTACATTTTTTATCTCTTTTTCTTGTTTCAAATTTTTATTCTTTGTCTCAAAAAACGCCACATCGCACAGTGGTTCCCCTTAATTAGCTGCGCGGTCATAACTGTTAGATATCTAGATATAGCTTGACTGCACCTTTTTAATAGAAATTGAAAACAAATGCTAAATAAATGGATATAAAAAAACTTAATGTAATATGTATTAAAAAAATTGGGCTCAGTTCGTGTGATTTGCATTTTAAGATCTAACTATTCGGAAAGGTATACAGATTATGTTTGCACGTACGTATATGTTTTTTTTCATATTGAAGAGATCAAATTTGTTTTAAATATTGAAAAAATAAAAGAGACAGTTGTTTCATTTTATAAATACAATTTTATTGTCAATTGATATACAGTTTGTCCACGAAATAAGTTGACACGAAGAGGAAAAAATAAGTTACTTTTATTTTAAGACAAAAAGTCAATTTTTAACCACCCGGTATAAGATCCGGCGGCAATTCGCGGCAGCCAGTGGCAATTAATTTATATGCAATATACTTTAAGCAACAAGTATTATCATGCCGTTTCAGAGGATTTGAAAGGGAAAGTAGTTAAAAGTCAAGCAAAAATGTAAAAATACTATTTTTGTTGCCTTCAAATAAATTGCTATAAACTAATATTACTTAGGTTTAATTAAGTGCAAAAAAGAAAAAACAGTTCTTTTTACCTTCTTTACGAACGTCCATTACAGAAAAGGCAACAGCTTTTATCAATTTTAATAAAATAAATAATTAATTATCTGACAACTGTTTATGTCACCTTAATACCAGTAGCAAAAATGTGACATTTCTAACACAAAAAGCGCTACACTAGGCTTACTTGATTTTGTTGTTTATTATGTATCGTTTACAGGGGAATATAAGAAAAGTATTAGCAACAGTTTCATGCAAACATTTTGAAATTAATATTTCTAAGTAATGACCTATCTGGGAACCACTGTGCATCGCATAGTTTTTGAGAAAATATTTTTTGGAGAATTTATTTTTCTAAAGCAGACCTACAATATATACAGGGAGTTCCAATATTTCTTGGACACAAAACAACTACGTATTTTTTTAATCAAAATAATTTAATTGCACATTATTTACCTTTATACAGAAGTGCTTCGTTTGGCCGTTAGAGGGTATCAATATAAAATAAACCCCCGAATGATAATTAATTTAAAATTTATTATTTTTTTTAACGATTTTACTTACATAAAATTCTATATTTTCGGCAAGTAGATTACTAAAGCATAATTTTATACGCCTTCATAGCTTCATCTGATAAAAACATTTTATGGAAGTCAGCAGTATTTAAGGTACTAGTGTGTTATCTTACATATAAGTCACGCTGGGAAATGTTAATAAAAATTTTCTCAACTTAAGCTAATTTTCTCAACTTACCTATATGTTATAACCATTGCCTGGAAACTTATATGGTGGAATTTTGATAGAATAATTTAGTACTTACTAAAAACAGGGTATGTCGCTAGTGGTAGGAAAAATAATTTTTAGAGGTTACTAGTTTATTTGGTTGCTTGTGATATGCATATACAGGGTGTTTCCTAATTAATCTAAAAAATAAAAAATCGTTAAAAAACGGCTTAAGGCGGGCTCTTAATAAGTATATTTATTTTTTTCTCAGCAACCGTTTGACGAACAAGAAAAACTCAAAAGATCAATTTTGTTGAAAAAGGATGGCCAGTCAAGAAAAAAATATTTTTCCTTTAAAAAAGCTGTAGTGTACCATTTATGTTAAGCAAAATATCATTTTTTTTTTAATTTTTAACACCCTGTAAATCAGAAAGGAAGTACTTTAGACCCAATGGTTATATAAAAATTGTTTTAAGAACACATGAGGAATCACACCACAATTTTTTAGACTAATTAGAAAACACCCTGTATATTGTCAACTTGTTGATAAATCAAAAAATACCTTTTCTGTGAAAAAAGCCCGATTTTCGCAGGAAAAATTTTGGTTTTTATTGAATTTGGGCCTGCGTCTGCATATAACGGTATGTTTTTTAATATTCTATCTATCTAAATTTTAAATATCCGAGGGGTGTCTCACTCGGGTAAAAAATGTACACGTACTGCCAAAATATCCTTCCACTGCTAAAGGCGGGTTCTCACTTGTCAGTTTCGCTGACGCAGTCTGACTGATTCATTATCAATGAAAAATAAAAAACAACGATTGTATTCACACGTTTCATGTTTTGCTACATTCAGTATTCAGTTGGTCCAAACATTCTAACGTGGTGATTTCGTATAGACATGGAAATGGTTAAAACTAAATTGAAACCATGTGTTCGCGAAGTTTGTTTACAATTCGCAAATGAATTACAGAATATTCTGGTGAATCAGAAAAGAAAAAAAAAACGTCGTAGGTGGTCAGGTCCTGGATATTGCGAAGAAATAAACGGGGTGCTAGTGAAACTATATTAAAAGAATTAATTAACTTAACTTGTAAACTGCACAAATCACGAAAATGTAGTTCTCACGCTTCAGTTTCTATTCATTATTCTATAATAATGATCATTCAAAATGAAAAAAGTAGAACTGGTTTTCACTTTAACTGAAAGTACGAATGTACTGATCATTTAACATGAAAATGGGTTCTGACGTTCATTGTTTGTTCAGTATCACTGAATCAGTCAGACTGCGTCAGCGAAACTGACAAGTGAGAACCCGCCTTAAGCGACTGCCTATGACTGCCATGTAATTATTATAGGCGACTGCCATAAGACTACCAATGACTGCCAGCGACTGCCAAGAAATTATACATATTGTACATGTAATTCCAATAGTGAGACACCCCTCGTAAATACCATAGTCAGAAATAGTTTTATTATTTATTATCTGTAAAAATGGTATACTTATAAGTTTTATCAAATATTGTGATTTACTTTCTACCTTGTAGTCAAATTTTATATTTAATAAACTGTAAAATAATATATAAGTGTAACTTTAAAAATAAGTTCTTTGAAATCAAATATGAACATAAAAAAATATTTACAGCAGAAAAGGCGAGGGCGCTGGGTTAAACGTAGTCTCTACTAAGAACACGGAGGGGCGCTTTGACCCAAAATTTTACTATTAAGTTTCATATCTATCTTAATAGAAGATTATTTTCTTTTATCTATGGTTATAACACGCGAGTGCCATACAATATTTCATCCAACAGCAGAACTATTTGATGTCCAATCTCTAAAGAATAATTGATTTAAAAGGATCTACCAGTTCTACTTTCATTTTTGCGAATTAATAAATTATCAGGGTGCGTTTGCGTTACTAAGCAATACAGATGTGCGTTTTTTTTTTTGTAAATAATAAATAGCACTGACATTAAGACTGATTAAGACATCATTTAGATAAACCGCGATTTTTTAACCATAAAATAGTGAATTATCAACCAGCAAGTCAGATTTTAAAACAAAATGATTCAGGAAGATCTTCCGTAAGTACTTGGGCCTACAAAATCCTGAGCAATACACTGGTCATTGTATGAGAAGATCATTCGCTACATTACTGGCAAATGCAGGAGTGAACATGGCAACGTTAAAAAGACACGGAGGATGGCAATCTGCAACGGTTGCGGAAGGATATATCGAAGAGTCCATCAACAATAAAATAGAGATTGCAAAAAAGATTCAAGGCGCTGTAAGTGTTCCAGAATGATCCGTTGTAATGGCAGAGCCTATTTCAAACAGTGGAGGGACAGCATCTGGTGGCAATATAAGGTTTTACAATTTCTGAATCTACAAAAAAAATATTTTTATTCATCATTTCAAAAATCGGTCGTCGGTTGAGTTTGAAAATATTTAAACTAAAATTTATGTAGAAGTGGGGGTAGTTTTTACCATTCCCGTACTTTTTCTTGATTTTTGTGGAAGCCAAATGTTAAAGGTCTTAGCAAAACATAGACACCCAAAATCTCATTCAAATCGGAATAACGGTTCTTAAGATATCTGAAAAAATGTTTTTATTTTTAAAGTTTGATGCCCTCTGACGAACAAACGAAGCACTTTTTTTGTATTAAGGTAAATTGAGTCCAATAAACTTATTTTGATTCCAAAAATACGTAGTAGTTCTATGTCTACGGAATATTGGGACACCCTGTATATTACATTAGAAACTTTTCAATTATTGTACAGTACGTTTGTCCGTTCTGTAGCTACGGGGTATCCGTGAGAGGGGAAACGATATACTCTCGATGTTTTTCGTAAAAAATTAGACGACGCGTCCCATCAATAAAAATTCGACTAATTTGCAAGTAGCCAATAAAATGAGTGGGCGGAGCGATTTGCGGTGACGTACTCGTCAAGTCGACGTATAAAATATATTGCTGTTTATTTAAATGTTTTTTGTTCGCATTCCTTTCATAGACACAGACGCAGCAGACGTACTTTAATAGGACACTTTTTACCATTTTTCTATAACCCAATTTCATAGTGTCTCAACAAAAGCAATTGAACTGACAAACGAACAACAATTGACATAATTCCAATAACTACAAATAAAAGAAGGCTGCAGCAATGGCGCAAAACGTAAGTGACTGGAGGTCGAATTACCTTCTGACGTTGAGCGCCGTGGAGCTTTTGGCCTTTTTGCTTCTGGGACTGAACAACTGCTTATTGAACAGACCGGTCGGCGATTTCATTTTGCCCTCGGCGTCCGTCTTGGAACTCGATCGCAAAAACGTCCTGGCAAAAAAACAAAATAGGAAGGAAGTTATTTGGGTCGAAAGATTCAGACCGGTAATATAAAAAGTTATACAGGGTGATCTGAACTGTGTTCCGGAAACTTCGGCAGCATATTCCGCAGATAAAAATAAGTAAAAAAGTTCGTATAAATGTATGTCCTAAAATGCTTAGTTTCGGAGATACAGGGTGTAGAAGTTTAATTTTTATTTCCATTTTTTCCAAATAATTTCTAAATAATGTGAAGACTAATAACTTTTCGTCCGTACCTGTATAAAACTACTGAGTAAAAGAATATACATTTACGACATTTTTTACGTAAAAAAGATCTCTTTGTAAAAATTTCTACGAGTAATGGCTCTCGAGATATTTGGACTCAAAATATTTGGACTCGAAACACTGTTTTATCACCATTTATTCGAAAAAAAATATGATTAATTTAAAAAAAATAAAAACTTCCCAAAATTTCAGTCAAATCTTCTCAACGTGTTTATTTTTTGTCAATAATGATATGTGTTGACTATTTCCATTCTAAATATCTTGAGAACGGTTGCTCGTAGCGATTTTTACCAAGAGACATTTTTTATGTAAAAAATCACGGAATTGTATATTTTTTCACACAGTAGTTTTATACAGGTACGGACAAAAAGTTATTACTTTTTAAAACAGTTAAAACTCATGTTGGTGGCGCCCCCTATAAATAGGAGTCATATTGACATCAAAACCAAATTTCTCATGTCAAAAAACTTACAGATACCAATTTTCATCCAAATATTTGCGTTCCTACATAAATTATTTGGAAAAAATCGAAATAAAAATTCTACACCCTGTATCTCCGAAACTAAGCATTTTTGTATATACGTTTATACGAACTTTTTTTACTTATTTTTATCTGCAGTATATGCTGCCGAAGTTTCCGGAATATAGTTCGGACCACCCTGTATATTGTGTTCTATTTTTGATAATTTTTTAAACAATTTGTAGCTAAGTTATTTGGCTTTTTAGTATCTCTTTCTAACTTAAAAATGAAATTACCATCTGTCAATTATACGAGGGAAAACAAAATGCTGATATTTTGGTGAATGTTTGAAACACCCTGTGGAGTACGTTTACAAAGCAAGAAATTTAAAAATAATTTTATCATCTAGGTGTATATTTTCTCGATAGTTTGTTTTTCGATTCATCTCAATTGCTTTATTTTTGTTGGAGATATTCGCTTTTTAAGAAAACACTAATATTTTTTCGTATTTTTATATTAAAACCATGCTTTTGCTTTTGGTTTTAGTCAACAGACATATAAAGTAGTGTTTATGATTAATGTAATATTACTGCTTTTGAAAAATCATATTATGATTGTCTGTTGGGCAGCTACTTACTCTAGCTAAAATGGTTTGAAGTCCAAAAGTTGATCTCTACCATGATCAATTAAAGCAGCAATAGCCAATGCTTCAGAAACAGAGACATTATAAAAACCCTTCCCGGACACAAACGGTACATTGTGAAACAGGAAATTGTAGAGAGAAACAAGCCCTATAACATAGGATACAACATTTTAATGAACAGTGCTTTCCATAAAATCAATAAAATGAAAAATATACGAAATAATATACATGTACTGATTTCATTCGAAAATCGACAACTATGAAACTATGAACCCTTCTCCGACACAAACGGTACATTGTGAGACAGGAAATTGTAGAGAGAAACAAACCCTTTAACATAGGATACAACATTTTAATGAACAGTGCTTTCCATAAAATCAATAAAATGAAAAATATACGAAATAATATACATGTACTGATTTCATTCGAAAATCGACAACTATGAAACTATGAACCCTTCCCCGACACAAACGGTACATTGTGAGACAGGAAATTGTAGAGAGAAACAAACCCTTTAACATAGGATACAACATTTTAATGAACAGTGCTTTCCATAAAATCAATAAAATGAAAAATATACGAAATAATATACATGTAGTGATTTCATTCGAAAATCGACAACTATGAAACTATGAACCCTTCCCCGACACAAACGGTACATTGTGAGACAGGAAATTGTAGAGAGAAACAAACCCTTTAACATAGGATACAACATTTTAATGAACAGTGCTTTCCATAAAATCAATAAAATGAAAAATATACGAAATAATATACATGTACTGATTTCATTCGAAAATCGACAACTATGAAACTATGAACCCTTCCCCGACACAAACGGTACATTGTGAGACAGGAAATTGTAGAGAGAAACAAACCCTTTAACATAGGATACAACATTTTAATGAACAGTGCTTTCCATAAAATCAATAAAATGAAAAATATACGAAATAATATACATGTACTGATTTCTTTCGAAAATCGACAACTATGAAACTATGAACCCTTCCCCGACACAAACGGTACATTGTGAGACAGGAAATTGTAGAGAGAAACAAGCCCTATAACATAGGATACAACATTTTAATGAACAGTGCTTTCCAAAAAAAAATAAAATGAAAAATATACGAAATAATATACATGTACTGATTTCTTTCGAAAATCGACAACTATGAAACTATGAACCCTTCCCGGACACAAACGGTACATTGTGAGACAGGAAATTGTAGAGAGAAACAAACCCTTTAACATAGGATACAACATTTTAATGAACAGTGCTTTCCATAAAATCAATAAAATGAAAAATATAAGAAATAATATACATGTACTGATTTCTTTCGAAACTCGACAACTATGAAACTATGAATCCTTCCCGCTTCCCGGACACACAAACGGTACATTGGGTGGCAGGAAATTGTAGAGAGAAATAAGCCCTATAATATAGGATACAACATTTTAATGAGCAGTGCTTTCCATAAAATCATAATAAGTGTGTCGATGAGAACCTAAAATCAATTCTAAAATTGTTTTAAATCGTTACTGTCTTATTCGAAAACGAATATCTCCAATAAAAATAAATCGATACGAATCAGAAAACAAACTATTGAGAAAAGACGTACCTAGGTGACAAAATAATTTTTAAATGTCTCGCTTTGTTTCCATATTCCACAGGGTGTTTGAAACTTTCACCAAAATATCAACATTTTGTTTTCCTTCGTATAATTGACCGATGAAAACTTTCATTTTAAACGTTCTACTAAAAAAGTCAGATAATTTAGCTACAAATTGCTTAAGAAATCACCAAAATCTGTCCACTAGAACAAAATATATTAAACTTTGAAATACATGAAAATTTTAAACTGCCCGTTTTTCGTACGGTGAGTGTAGATTCTAACATGTTTTCATTCATTGTGTTACTTAAATTTTTACAAAAAAATTAAATTTAAATATTTTTTTTTATAAAAATGCCCAAAACAAGTTTTAATAAACAATAACAAATCATTCACATTTACTAAACCACCACTGTTAAATTTTCACATGATTTCAAAAGCATTTTACTCATTTTGGGTTAGAATTACACAAAAACAGGGTCGGTTAGAGGCCACCACAAAGGAGGTTTTAATAAGGCAATTTATATTAAAGGCAAAGAAAGGATTTTATTCCCTCACACGACGGGAATAAATACAAAAACCTCCTGGAATTCGCCAGGTTTTTGGTTTCAGGCTGGATTTATGACTTGGAAGGACAATCTAAGCGTTTTAACGAACACGTCTCCTCTTTATTCGCATTTTATCGAAGAATTTTGCACTTTTTTTTCTTCAATAGCAGCCTGTGGTTTCCCACGATTGGTTTATGAAAAAAAAAAAATGATTTATTGGTTTTATAGATAAGATCAACAACTGATGGAAAAACGGAATTCACGTGAAGAAGATACACATCTAGCTTTTGTAGACCTTCAAAAAGCTTACGACTCCATCGCCAGAGTTAAACTATGGTACATACTGGAACAACTTGATGTGGATGAATGTCTCATAAATTTAATCAAGGTGCTGTACAACAACAACACAGCTCATGTTAAGAGCGGTAACCGACTGTCTGAGTTAATTTTTACGGCCAAAGGCCTTCGACAGGGATGTTCTCTGTCGCCTCTTTTATTTAATCTATATTTGCAAGTGGTTTAGGGACTGGAAGAAGAGGTGTTGGGGGATGGGCGTCCCTGTAGGAGATGACTGTTTGGTTACATTGAATTTTGCCGATGATCAGGTGGTCATAGCTCAAGATGCTTACGACCTTGAATTCATGATGAGCAGATTAAATTCGGCATACACGCAATGGGGCCTTACTGTGAACTTATTGATAAAACGGAATATCTAGTGACCAATTCAGATGATAAATTTGACATTTTTATTACTGACAATGCAAAGCTCAGACAGGTTGAATGGTTTAAATATTTGGGGGCACGTATAACCAGAAAGGGACTGGACAAAACAGAAGTATCTGCTAGAATAGAACAAGGGCGGAAGATTATAGGAGCACTGAATGGCATCTGGTGGGACAAAAACATAAGACCAAACACAAAAGTACATATTGGAAGAGCCCTAGTGGAGTCGGTAGTAACTTATGGGTGTGAAGTTTGGACCTTAAAAGCTGAACAAAAGCGAGCTTTGAATGCACTCGAAATGGACTATTTGAGACGCAGTGCGGGAGTATCTAAAGTGGACAGAATTAGGAACGTGGAAATCAGAGCCAAAATGGATGCCACACAGACAATAGTGGATAGAGTCTAACAGAGGGGCCTTAAGTGGTTTGGACACTTGCTACGCATGGAACACCAAAGATAACCCTACCGTATCTACAGCTGGTCACCTCCTGGAAAAAGGAAAAGAGGACGGCCTAGAAGATCTTGGAATGAGACCATCAGAAGGGCAATGGAGGACCGTAACTTGGAAGAGAAAGATGTTCTTGATCGTAGCAGGTGGCGGTTAGGCGTGGGGATGCGACGTTAGTTGCGACAACCCTGGAGTATATATATAGATAAGATACTATTATTTGAAGGAATATATTAAGGAATCACTAAGAATAATCTCCAACCTACCTCCTTCCAAATGGGTGATATGTTCAGATTCACTAAATGCATTACAATGCCTAAACGAATTATCACCAAAACATCCTCTAGCCGTTAAATCGCTCGACTTGCATCACTCTTCAATATCTAAAGGTTCAACTGTGGATCTAGTATGGATTCCTAGCCATGTGGGTATAAGAGGTAATGAAGATGCTGATAAGATTGCTAAGACTGCAGCAAATGATGGAGATTTTATACCACTTGCATTTTCTATCTCTGAACTTAAATTTCTACATAGGTCCACAATAAAAAGTGGTATCCAGGTATTCCCGATCAGCCAGAGTACTATGTGCCGGGCAGCCATCCATTTGGTACCAAACTTCCTGATTTTCCCTAGCGGCATCATGTAAAGCAGGTAAAATATGATTTTCGAGTAGTTCCAAATAATATTCTGCATTTAAATTTCGCGTAAGAAATAATGGCCCGATAATATTGTGTCCGAATATCCCTGCCCAAACATTTACTTTCTGTGTATATTGCGTCCTTGTTTCGACAAACCTGTGTTGGTTTTCTTTGTTCCAATATCGATAATTTTGAACATTGGGTTCATTATTTAAGGTAAACGTGCATTCGTCAGTAAAACATATGTTTTTTAAAAATTCCCTATCCGTGTTTGCTCTTTCCATCATATCAAATCAAAACGCCTGCCGCCGTTTTCGTCCCCATCTCGTAGCTCTTGGTGCTTTTCATATTTGAAGGAATAGTATTTATGTCGTTTCAAAATTCGAAACGCTGTAATGTGATCTATTCCTATTTCATCCTCAAGTTTCCTTGTGCTGATCTTTCCATCGTTCTCTTCCACGCACAATAAAACTTCCAAGTCGGTATCATTTCTTGCTTCTTCTCTTTGTTCCTGCCTTGCTTGACATCTGCAGTTATTTATTAGGGTAGCTTTGATTTAAAATCTCTGGATATTCCTTGCGATTTTAGATTTTCCAGGTATCGGTCTATTCGGATACAGAGCAGCAAACATGTCCGACACTTTTTGATAACAATTTCCTTGATAATACCATTTAATCGTCAATACTTTTTCTTCGGTTCATGGCTAATATTTTCGATGTAGGTATGAGTTTTTAATAATAATAATAAAGCACTAAATAGATAAACTTCTGAAATGGCAACTTCATTTGACAGTAATCTTTTACCTTGACTGGTGTGCTCAAAAGTAAATACAGGGCCATAAGAAAGGAGAAATATTTAAAAAGAAATCGGCGGCGGCGATAACTAGTAAACGGGCTGATCAAAAATATCTAAAGTTATTCTTTTGAATGTGGGTCTTAGTGCTCTTCAATAAACCTAAATAGAATTATTCTCTAAAATAATTAGGGAAGCCAATAATTGACCCCATTAAAATTTACATGGGATTTCCTATGTCCCGCTTGACGATGCAACACCCGGTATAGAAGCTTTTGTAAGTTATTTTCGTCTTCAGATATGAATACTGCATCGTCAGCATACCATATCATTTTTATTTCTTTATCTTTATCTTATTTCTTTATCTATTTCTTTATCTTTATCTTTATCTTCTTGTTTATCTCCCAGTCGATATCTTCTCCCAGTTTGTTCTACTTCATTTATGATTTCATCCATTACGATGTTGAACAGGGTTGGATTGTCACAGGAATTCCGGTTGTCACAGCTATTTTTCTGTTTAGTTTATTGGCCGCTCCGACATATGTGTAGTTCTCGGTATTCAACACTTCGATTACTTTTATTATATTCGACTGAATTCTCCTTTTTAACGAAATATGCTGGGAATAACCAAGAACGACCGTAAAAGAATAGAGTGGATACGACAAAATACCCAGGTAATAGATGTCATCAACAGAATCAAATCCCTCAAGTGGCAATGTACGGGAAACCTGGCAAGAAGGACGGACAACAGATCAGATGGACCACAAAAATTACAGCAGGGTACTCACGAAGAATTAAAAGACCTAGAGGAAGACCAAACCCTGAGATGGGACCATGATATTATTAAATTAGCAGGGACAACAATGGGCCTACACCATAATTGGAAATGGTTGAATAAGCTGAAAATGATGATGACTTCTAGTCAATTATTGATAGATAAAATAATAAAATTATTATAAAAATATTTAAGGTGTAAATTGTAAAGAAAAATAGTTTATGGGTAATTTTTTATGTTGAATTTAACAAAAATAGTTGCTAATAGTTCAGGAGAAATAAGTTTGAGGTAAACTATTAGAGCTTGCAGCATAAAAGTCTTACTAAATTTTCTGGAAAATTGTTTAACTATGCAATAATGCTAAAGTTAGTTCAAGTTGATTTAATGAGAAGTAGCAAGCGATGCAAAGTTCAGACGCAAGATCAAGATAATTAAAAAATGTTGCTACCATGTCAGACAGTAACTTTTAATTTAATATATTCTTTCAATTGGCAGACTAAGTATCATTTTTTAGCTAATTCAACTAGTAGTAATTTAACTATTTAACTATTTAAACATTAAAGCACAAAATATACTTTAAAATACTTAAATATTTCTTAACTAATTTATTAAGATATTTTTCTTTTATTTTAAAATTTTTTTCCACACTATCAAAATCAATATTAATCAAATAATATTAAGAATAATCAATAATCATAAAAAAATAATAATAGGTAACTGACCTTTTTATTATGCTGGGACTGAGTTTCAACCTCCTGTCATCTGGACTGAAATTATTCTCAGAATCCACTTCAGTGACTGATTCCAGATGAGTCTGGTTCTCTTCTTGCTGTTGCCTGCGAATATTACTGATTTTATACGGTAAAAATACCTAGATCCCCTTACTTTCAGGGTGCCTGAAAAGTGTCTTCGGTTCTTCTTCTTATGAGGTAGTGTTTATATTTTGTGTTTTAATAGATCGTGTATACCGGGTGCGTCTCATTTTATTTTTTCAGATAAAAAAATAACAAGATTTGGTATGCTAGTATATGACATAAATTAGGACGTATTTAATGGTTTTCGGTCATTTCCTCTTTCACCAGAAATGACTACAACTTTTGATTTTTAAATGGCACCCTCTGTATTTTTTACTTTGTTCGATAGAAAATGACACTCTGAATAGAATGACGTAACACATGTCAACTTTGGATATTTTCGCATATGGGTTATTTGAAATTGTAACATGAGGTTCATAACGACATTTTTATTCGAAATAGCGTGTACCAGCGACTTCGTTCGCGTCGAATTAATCATTTGTAATGGTGATGATAAAGCAAAGCAAGCATTTCCATTAACATACATTCGAAAAATAAGCTTTTTACGTCAAGCAGTTTAAGCAGAATCGTGGTTAAGAAATTACCCAACTTTTTGGAACACCCTGTATGATTTTTTAAAAAATTTCAGAATATGTAAAAAAACCAAATAAATTAGGCTTGTCCAGACGTTTTCCCGAAAGACTAACAGTTTTTTAAATAACAAATATTGTAATATTTCAGGGGCGTTTTTGCCCTCTTGGAATTTGAGATTCGAGAAACCCCTCCTTATCGAACCTCTACGCCCCGCAGTCAATCCGTTTGCCAAAAATCAGCTTTAAACGTCAAGCAGTTTAAGCAGAATCGTGATTACTCATTGGTCATATTTTATGAAATACCCTGTATAAATTTTTAAAAAGTCATGAAATATGTAAAACAACAAAATAAAATACACGTGTTTAAGCGTTTTTTCGGAAACTTGACCGTTTTTTAAATAAAAAATATTGTAATATTTGAGGGGTGGTTTCACCCTCTTGGAACTGGAATTTTGAAAAATCACTTCCTTTCGAACCTCTACACCCTAGATTCAACCTGTATGCCAAAATTGAGCTTCTTACGTTGAGTGGTTTGAGCAGGATCGTGATTAATCAGTATGTCAGTCACTTAAGGATTTTATATATTAGTATAGATACTAGCGATGGGAACTATCGAATGAATTAGACTATCGAATGGTTACTGAATGAATGATTTCAACTATCGAATGGTTTTGTTCGAATAAAATCATTCATTCATTTGTATACTAAAGCATATGTGACAACCTCGCCGTGCGACTAAATGGTTATCGTTGAGCCACGACTATCGAATGCTTTTGATAAATGAAAAATAAAATTTAGTATTCGTTTGATTTTTGTGTGCGTCAGTGCATTATTAGTTCTTCAACTTTTTATAACTTCACCTTATAAATACTGTGCTATTTTTGCGTTTATTAAAATATTTAAAATACTAAAATAGTAGTTTTTTTAATTGACGATTGTGTGCGTGTGCAGGTGTCAAATTTTTCCGAAAATTTGTGTGATTTTCTGTAGCTCGATCTTTCAATTATTTTATTTTATATGGTATTTATGGTCTATTTTTTAATGGGAAATTTTGAGAAGTAGCAATTTTTAAGAGAAATGAGATGAACTTGAAGTTTTACACGTGCCAATTTAAAAAAAAAGTTAACGATGTTTGTATTTTGTTTATGCTAATTCTCTTACATGTAGTTTTTTGCGAAGAAATATTTCATTTATTTTTTAATGTAAATGCCAGTAAAAGTAAATATTATTTTTTAATAATAATGTAAAGTACCCAATATAAATAATTTTGATTTCTAATTTTTCATTTATATTTTCCTTCCATTACACTGCATGCTTAGAAAATTAATAAATGTTTATATTTCATGATTTTAAAGTTTGTTGTTAATATAACAAATTAGCTCTGTAATTATTATTATTTAATAAACCAACGATGCCAAAAAATTTAGAGACTATATTATTTTTAAATAGGATCTAATATAAATAATTTTGACTTCTAATTTGTTGTTTATATTTTGCTACTACGTAAAAAAATGTTTATATTAAATTATTTTAAATTTTGTTGTTAATAGGTATAACAAATTATTACTGTTATTATTATTTTTATTAAACCAGTCTTTATTAAAAACATTAAAAATCATTTTCCTACATCCGAAATATTTTATTATCTAACCTAACCTAACAACAGAATATTAATAAAAAAAATGCAAAATATATAGACATACTATCCGTAACTAACTAAAGCCAAACAATAATATTCTTTGCTAATATCAACTAATACCAATATATGGCAACAGCGCCCTTCATAATGTATTTTCTGTGTAAATACTAGCACCTCAATAAAAAAATAATGTGTCCTTATCTTTATATGACTCCGCAAAAAATCAAAGATGCCGGCTTCTTTCTAGCATTGCCACCGACCGCTGTCGGGTTTCTCGGAAAGAAACCTACGTCGCCGGGCGACCACTAAAATCCAGTTAACATTTTATTATAATCGATCCTGACGAATAAATGAATTTCATAAATGAATGAATTTTATAAATGAATGGTTTTTGCTGCCGAATTACTAGAATACAATATTTCAAGGCAGATGACGCATCTATTCGATAATTTTTATTTGAATAGTTTTCAACGAATGTTTTTTTACTAGCTATCGAATTATTCGAATGAATTGCAACTATCGAATGTTTCGATAGTATTCATTCGATAGTTCCCACTACTAATAGATACCATGTGTGAGCTACCAAATTATTCTTAAAAAAAGTGCTTTTTCCAAATAGGCCAACCTCATTCCATTTTAAAAATTTGAGATACGATTTGAGCATCTTTTAACCGGCCAGGCAAGACAAAAAACTCCTTGATTAAATATTAATGTTTTTAATACAACCGTGGCACTCCATATTGAAATTTAAAATACGATTTTTTTTAAAGCCAAAATGTTAAAAATTAACATGAGTGTCATTTTCTATCGAATGAAGTAAAAAAATACCGAGGGTGTCACATACCAGTGAAACAGGAAGTCAAAAACAACAGTGAAAAACAATAGAAAACGTCAATCAATCCTAAATTATGTCATATACTACCGTATCAAATATCGTTTTGTTATCTGAAAAAGTAAAAAAGTTATAGGGGTGAGCCACTTTTGAGACGCACCCGGTGTAAAAGAGCTTCACCGTGTTTACTTGTTTTCTGCTGTGTTTGTTGGTTAGTTAAATCATTCTCAGACACCCTGTATATGAGAGCTCACCTGCGTATTTCTTGGATCATTTCAAAAAATTGTGCTTTGCTTTTCCTACGCCGACGCTGTTCGTGTTCCTTCTGGAACAAGGATAATCAAGAGTGATTCGTAAAGAAACTGTTTTTTCTTCAAGTTTATCCACTAAACACATTCAAATTTATGTAAAATTTATACAGGGTTGTTCACCACATACGACACGGAGTATTGTAGGTAAAAGATTCGATTTTTACAAATTATAAGTTTTCGGGTCGTTGAATTCGTATTTTTTAATTGGAACACACTGTATATTATTCTATTTTTAGATTCTAAGATTGAAATAAAGGTAAATTTGATTAAGATTTGTCACGCTTAAACCTTACCGATTTTGAAATATTTTCAATTTTATGAAATTGCAGTAAAATGTTAAGGCTTCATTTCTCCAAGGGTATCAAAGTTTTTAATACTAAATATTTACTGAAGATTATTTATTGATCAGATATTGTGTTGCAATAATAAAAATTATACTACCTTATACAGAGTGTCCAAAAATTTATATTAAATAATTACTACTTTTAAACCGCAATAACTTGTTTAATTTAAATGGAACATCCATACCGTTTATTACCTATCTCCTCAAGTTTTCGTAGAAAATGCATTTTCTTATAATTTAGGCTTCATTTATCAATATATATTATATATATGTCTGTTTGATCTCTCCCCATGTTTTCCCGACCTCTTGGGCTTCAGAGGTTACTGTTCTTCTCCAGGTATTCCTTGGTCTTCCCCTGGCACGTCTTCCCTGTGGATTCCATTCAAGTGCCTGTCTAGCGATATCTCTGTGGGGTCTGCGCAAAATATGCCCAATCCAGCCCCACTTTCTTTTCTTAATTTCGATATCTATTCGATTTTGTGATGTTCTTCTCCACAGTTCTTCGTTGTTAATTTGATTGGGCCAGAAAATTCTCAATATTCTTCGAAGACACTTGTTAACAAACACCTGTAGGCGATCCATGAGACCACGCGTAACCTTCCATGTTTCGCATCCATAAAGCAAAATAGATTTGACATTGCTATTGAAGAGCTGGACTTTAGTTTTTTTGCTATATATAGAGGAGTTCCACACAGGTGTAAGCATGCCAAAAGCCATTTGTGCCTTCAAAATCCTTTCCTCTATATCTTTCTTTGTGCCCCCATCGCTGTGAACTATACTTCCCAGGTACTGAAATTCATCAACTCTTTCGATGGCTCGGTTGGAGAGGTATAGATCTTGGTTGTTGGGAGTATTTGATCTCATTACTTTGGTTTTCGTCACGTTGATTTGAAGACCGACATTATTAGCTTCCTCTTGGAGTCTAAGAAGTTTTTGAGACATATCCGATCCAGGTCTTCTAGCCTGCTTAAGAGTCCCCATTGTATCCGTAGTGGTTCTTTAAATGCTCTATTTAGTGCTACATCCAGAACGATGTTAAAGAGTAGCGGCGAAAGTATACAGCCCTGTTTTACACCTACTGCAATAGAAATTTTCTCCCCCACTCATTTATCAATATATCCATGGAAATTTTTAAAGATGTAACAAATTTTTACGAAATACAGATACTAATATTGTCGATATAGTTCGTTTATTTGATTAAAAAATAAAAAAAAAACTGTTTAAATATTTGTTAAACAGCACCAAGTTAATATGATTCCAGTATTCAAACTACATTAATTGACTGTTTACATTGATTAATAATAACTGCTCCAGATACTAAAAAACTGAATTTTGTTTGTGTATTAGACAGTGTGGTGAAAATTAACATTTTATAAACTTTATATTTCAATTTTTGGCGAATGCTTATTAATAACAACAGAGACGTTTATTTTCATAACTAATTATTATATTGATTTCTCAGTCAAATCCATATTTATTTAGAATAAAAAAAAACCAACATATATACAAAACAATCATTTTGAACATATCTTGCTTTAAAAAATCTAAAATGTCAATATTCCATGGGTATAGTGATAAATGAGGTCTAAATTATAAGGAAAAACTATTTTTACGAAAACTTGAAGAGATAGGTAAAAAATGGTATAATACAATTTGATAGTCAATTAAATTGCGCATCCGACTCGCGTAAAATATACAGGGTGTTCTATTTAAATTAAACAAGTGAATGCCGTTTAAAGGTAGTAATTATTTAATATACACTTTTGAACACTCTGTATAAGGTAGTTTAATTTTGATTATTGCAACACAATATTTGATCAATAAATAATCTTCAGTAAATATTTAGTATTAAAAACTTTGATATCCTTGGAGAAATGAAGCCTTAAATTTTTTACTGCAATTTCACAAAATTGAAAATATTTCAAAAACGGTAAGGTTTAAGTGTGATAAACCTTAATCAAATTAAGCTTTATTACAATCGTAGAATCTAAAAATAGAATAATATACAGGGTGTTCCATTTCAAAAATATAACTATTAATATTTTTTACTTATTTGAGGCACTCTGTATGTTTGGTAAATTATTTTTAAATTATAGCTCTAATAGTCCTTCAACGAACCCAAACCTTACAATTTGTAAAAATCTAATTTAGCTACAATACTCCGTGTCGTATGTGGTGAACAACCCTGTAAAATATGTATACCTAATCTATAGCATTTCCAAAGTCAATTGGAAATACTGGGACTCAATAGTCAGACAAAAAAGACAGTGCAGAACTTAAGAGTCCTAACCTTGTCCAATTGAAAAACTAAACCAAATTCCACGAAATTTTTATGTAATAGAGAGTTTCTTTTAATCGTCTTGATTTGTAAATTATTTCCATCTATATTGTTAATTTCAAAGATAAAGTAAATAAAATCGTGTAATACTATCACAGCCAATTTAGTACCAGCTGGCCAACTTATAAGCGATACCAATTAAACTTTTAGTTACGTCATCGAGGACGCGATTTTAAAATTCACTGTTGCCAGCCATAGACCTATTCGGCTCCAGGCTGACTGGAATTGGAATTTAAATTTCTCGTTGACATAGCAAAAAAATGTAAAATGGCCACATTTGTTTATTTACTTCCTGGCATTGTCATTCGTTTTGACACTTTAGTTTTCTATTACGAATTTTTGTGTTGTAATATTTTGAGCTTAAAAAACTAGCAGACCTTGCAGTCGAACATTGTTCTTTTTAGAACTTTTTTAGTGCAAAGTGTACAAAATAGCTTAATAGCCGTTGTAAAAAACTCATCGCTATTACAATATTTTGAACGGGAAAGCGGTAGTAACGGCCTTTTATGTACCCTAAGTGCTGTTAAGAAGGTGAGTTTTCTTGATGTAAATAATAACTATTTATATTTTTATAATTAATTTATTTTTGTTTTCTAAAATATTTTGGTTTGGCTTAAGCAAGTGACTAAAATTTTATTTGGTATAATCTGTACAGGGTGGACCATTTTGGTTGTTTCTATAGGGTATCTAGAAAATCGTGAGAAATATTCAAATTTTGATACTGCAGTCTCGGGTTCTTTTTTTGAAAAAAATACAATGGCGCAAACGGATCGTGGCTATCTTGATCGGTTTCGAAGCTACAGGGGGATTCTCAAATGTTGTACTTTTTGAAGATGTTCGATATATGTAGTGTTCCATTTTATTTAACTCCGAGGATAATAATATATTGATTTTCTTCATCTTCTTTCTGATATTTTTTTGGTTTTTTTTCGGTTTTTGAAAAGATCAAAAATTGATTAAACTATCTTTTAACATTTTAAAAATGGCTGGGTTTGGTTGCTCGCGCTCTGGATACAGCTCAAAATATAAATCAGCTGCCATTTGCTTATGTTTGTTAGACTCAATATAACATTCTAACATATTATATTCCTCAAAATTTTAAAATTTACGCATTTTTTTATTATTTAAAATACACACACTTCAATCTGTTGAAACGAAATGTTCCGCATCCATCAAAGGTATGTTCCGATTACCATGACAACTGTTTACATTGTTCCTCGGCGTGGCCTACTATCCACTAAGCGGATATTTTAAGAAAAATTTGAAATGTTGATGTTAATAGTGAAAATAAATATAGAGAGTTATATATTTTCGAGAAGCCCATGCCAAGCTGAATAAGAAAATTTAAAAATATACAGGGGGTTCTATTTAAAAAAACATATATATTGTATAGTTAATATCTCCAAAAATATTTTTTTCGAAAAAAGTCTGACTACGCCACTGCATTCTACACAGAAAAGTGCCTTCAGAGTGTATAATTCATTTTTCCGTGGTTGCTGAAATAAACAAACTATCGAACATCTTCAAAAAGTACAAAATTTGAGAATCCCCCTGTAACTTCGAAACCGATCAAGATAGCCACGATCCGTTTGTGCCATTGTAATTTTTTCAAAAAAAGAACCCGAGACTGCAGTATCAAAATTTGAATATTTCTCACGGTTTCCTAGATACCCTATAGAAACAACCAAAACGGTCCACCCTGTACATCTTAATTTTTTAATGCCTTCTACACATGTTGTTTAAAACAGACTATAAAACAAATGTTTTTAAGAAGTTTTAAACACTATTCCATCTTTGGAATTAAAATCGTTTTTAAAAAAAAAATATTTATCTTTAAAAAACTGTTTTAAACTATAAAAAAACACATGCTTATTTTTAAATAAAAAAACATTTGTTGTAATAGAAAATACGCCCAAATAGTTAATCAGACTAACATCACTGCAACTAAATCAAAATAGCACAAAGCAATTTAAAGAACTAAATAGAAGTTTTCAATTAAAAAATAATTAAACTCTAACCTACTTGCAAGCGAAACAACAAAGCAACAAAAGGCAAAAGAGTACGGGCACAACAGTTTAAAGTAAATTACTACAAACCCTTTTGATGCTTTTCTGAAACAAGCTCGTTATTTGTCCTTGTCTGATTGTGTGGACCAGCTCTCTGGCGGCGTGATGGGGCGACACCAGCTCCACACAGTTGATAAATCGATAGAGTTTCTGTAAAGCAACACATAAATAGAAAACGTCACTCTATTTAAACAGAGTCTTTATTGTGGCTTAAAAAAACATGGATTTTAAAGCTTGTATAATCTGTTTTACGAACCAGTGAAGATTTCGTTTACAAAGAAGAATACTAATTACAACTCTTTAAAAATATTCAACCATTCTTCTGAGGAGTTGAAATTCAATAACACCAGGATCACTTTTAAAAAATTGGCGCCCATACTAAAATATGTTAATAAAAAGTTGGTAGGCAGTTCTTTTAGTATTCCTAAGTGGATAGTTTTGAGAAGGCCTTTCCGGAATAGAAGATATGTGCTTGCGGATTAAGCAAACGGATTCAAAAATGAATAAGGAAGGAAGAGTCAGTATTTTGGAATTTTAAAGAAATTCTGGCAGTGAGTTCTACTGTTCAGTCCCAATAAGTATCGAACTGCTCTGTTTTGAAGTTTGAAAATCCGATCAAATTTTGTCGCGCAGCAATTACCCAGAATGGAAGGGCATAACGAAGATGCGACTCAAAAAGGGCATAATAGACTATTCTAGAGGTTGATGAGTTAAGTTCCTTAGAAACTGATCATATCGCAAAACAGGCAGCGCTTAGTTTCTTTGATAAAGCTTCGATGTGCAAGGCCCATTTTAACGAGTTGTCTACAACAAGTCCTAAGAATTTCACAGAGTCCACGACGTCGATAGTGGTGTTATTAAGTACAAAAGGTTGTATAGTACTTTTATATGACAAAACTTTAGTTTTTGAAAGGTTGAGGCATAGGAGATTAGAATCGCACCAAGATTTAATGGTGCGTAAGTCACTGGATATAGTATTATATAGTGCCGTAACATCTGGGCCGCTCCAAGTGAAACTAGTATCGTCCGCAAAGAGGCAGATTTTACCGCTAATGTGTATATTTGCAATGTCGTTGATAAACACCAGAAACAAAATAGGGCCAAGTACTGAACCCTGAGGGATACCACATTCTATAGGCTTAGAAGAAGACATAGACGTATCAATCCGCACAAGCTGCCTTCTGTTGCCAAGATATCAGTTAAGCCATTCGAGCGGCACTCCCCTGAATCCATAGTATTGCAATTTGTTAATTAAGATATTATTAAGTATTAAGTATGGCACTCCTTTCATTTCATTTAATAAAATAAGTAGGGCTATTTACAATATTAATGTTTGATTTGCATAACCTATCCTCCTCAAATTTCCCAAATATTGCTTCTATCGAGCGCATCTGAGGTAATCACAATAAAAAATATTCTTAACACAACGTAGGTTTCTTTCGCATTCGCTAATTGCGATTGCGATTTCAAAATCACTGCGATTAAATCGCAGTTTGCGATTCTTGCTCATCTCTAGTAGTTTTCGGTGAAACAGGAAGTGGCCAAAATTAATTGAATACATTAATCAATCTTGATTTATGTCATGTACTAACATACCAAATCTTGTTTTTTTATTTGAGAAAATAAAATGGTTATAGGTGTGAACTTTCGAAAAACACCCGATATAAAATACTGTCAATATAAATCTTGAACTATTTTCAAGGGTAATATTTGTTCTTGTCATAAAAGACGGTGAGTGTTTGTCAAATAAAACTTTGAAATTTCCTTTAAAACAAAACCCAAAAAGACAGACCCAAGACTAGAAAATATTGAGTTGTAAATTTTAAAAAGGCATACGGCGAAATCGAGCTGTAAAATTTTATATAACCACTCTGGAGTAAATTCGATGTTGTTTTTTGAAAGGAAAGGGCAAGGGAGTTTTATAGATATCTATAAAAAGATCTTTATATGGCTCTCGAAGGTGCTATAAGGGATAAAGAAAAGATATATCATAAATGTAGACAACTTACCTGGCTGAAGAACATTATATTTCTACTTCTCCACATACTTTCTTTTGGTTTATCTCTTAAAACGGGAAGCACGTATCTGTAACAAATGTTTAGTAAATAATATTATATAATACGACCATATAGAATGTTCAGCCATTGTTCAACGTTACGTCATATCGAGTATCTCACAATCTACCGTTTGTGTCGGGGAAGGGATCATAGTTTCATAGTTGTCGATTTTCGAAAGAAATCAGTAAATGTATATTATTTCGTATATTTTGATTTTATTGGTTTTACGGAAAGCACTGTTCATTAAAATGTTGTATCCTATGTTATAGGGCTTGTTTCTCTCTACAATTTTATGTCTCACAATGTACCGTTTGTGCCGGGGTAGGGATCATAGTTTCATAGTTGTCGATTTTCGAAAGAAAACATTACATATACATTATTTCGTATATTTTTCATTTTATTGATTTTATGGAAAGCACTGTTCATTAAAATGTTGTATCCTATGTTATAGGGCTTGTATCTCTCTACAATTTCCTGTCTCACAATGTACCATTTGTGTCCGGAAAGGGTTCATAGTTTCATAGTTGTCGATTTTCGAAAGAAATCATTACATGTATATTATTTCGTATATTTTTCAATATATTGGTTTTATGGAAAGCACTGTTCATTAAAATGTTGTATCCTATGTTATAGGGCTTGTTTCTCTCTACAATTTCCTGTCTCACAATGTACCGTTTGTGCCGGGGAAGGGATCATAGTTTCATAGTTGTCGATTTTCGAAAGAAATCAGTACATCTATATTATTTCGTATATTTTTCATTTTATTGTTTTTATGCAAAGCACTGTTCATTAAAATGTTGTATGCTATGTTATAGGGTTTGTTTCTCTCTACAATTTCCTGTCTCACAATGTACCGTTTGTGTCGGGGAAGGGATCATAGCTTCATAGTTGTCGATTTTTGAAAGAAATCAGTACATGTAGATTATTTCGTATATATTTCATTTTATTGATTTTATGGAAAGCACTGTTCATTAAAATGTTGTATATTATGTTATAGGGCTTGTTTTTCTCTAGAATATCTTGCCTCACAATGTACCGTTTGTGTCGGGGAAGGGATAATAGTTTCATAGTTGTCGATTTCCGAAAGAAATCAGTACATGTATATTATTTCGTATATTTTTCATTTTATTGATTTTATGCAAAGCACTGTTCATTAAAATGTTGTATCCTATGTTATAGTGCTTGTTTCTCTCTACAATTTTCTATCTCACAATGTACCATTTGTGTCCGGAAAGGGTTCATAGTTTCATAGTTGTCGATTTTCGAAAGAAATCATTACATGTATATTATTTCGTATATTTTTCAATATATTGGTTTTATGGAAAGCACTGTTCATTAAAATGTTGTATCCTATGTTATAGGGCTTGTTTCTCTCTACAATTTCCTGTCTCACAATGTACCGTTTGTGTCGGGGAAGGGATTATAATTTCATAGTTGTCGATTTTCGAAAGAAATCAGTACATGTATATTATTTCGTATATTTTTCATTTTATTGATTTTATGGAAAGCACTGTTCATTAAAATGTTGTATCCTATGTTATAGGGCATGTTTCTCTCTACAATTTCCTGTCTCACAATGTACCGTTTGTGTCGGGGAAGGGATCATAACTTCATAGTTGTCGATTTTCGAAAGAAATCAGTACATCTATATTATTTCGTATATATTTCATTTTATTGATTTTATGGAAAGCACTGTTCATTAAAATGTTGTATCCTATGTTATAGGGTTTGTTTCTCTCTACAATTTCCTGTCTCACAATGTACCGTTTGTGTCCGGGAAGGGTTCATAGTTTCATAGTTGTCGATTTTCGAAAGAAATCAGTACGTGTATATTATTTCGTATATTTTTCATTTTATTGATTTTATGGAAAGCACTGTTCATTAAAATGTTGTATCCTATGTTATAGGGCTTGTTTCTCTCTACAATTTCCTGTTTCACAATGTACCGTTTGTGTCCGGGAAGGGTTCATAGTTTCATAGTTGTCGATTTTCGAAAGAAAGCATTACATGTATATTCTTTCGTATATTTTTCATTTTATTGATTTTATGGAAAGCACTGTTCATTAAAATGTTGTATCCTATGTTATAGGGTTTGTTTCTCTCTACAATTTCCTATTTCACAATGTACCGTTTGTGTCCGGGAAGGGTTCATGGTTTCATAGTTGTCGATTTTCGAAAGAAAGCATTACATGTATATTCTTTCGTATATTTTTCATTTTATTGATTTTATGGAAAGCACTGTTCATTAAAATGTTGTATCCTATGTTATAGGGCTTGTTTCTCTCTACAATTTCCTCTCTCACAATGTACCGTTTGTGTCCGGGAAGGGTTCATAGTTTCATAGTTGTCGATTTTCGAAAGAAATCAGAATTATTTCGTATATTTTTCATTTTATTGATTTTATGTAAAGCACTGTTCATTAAAATGTTATTGTATGTTATAGGGCTTGTTTCTCTGTACAATTTCCTGTCTCACCAAACGTCATATATTGACGAACTCTCCAGACGAAAGACATTGGTGACGTCATACGGCATTTCGTACATATTCTTTTTAGTAATTGTCATTGTCATTTGTTTTGGGATTATAATTTTATTGAAGAACATGGATCAAATGTCAAAACTATAATTTGATTGTTGCTGTAAAGCAAAATTCAATTTTTTTATTGCAAAATTGCCTTAAAGATTTAACCAAAATGACCAAGAACTCACTGCTAAGCTTATAAATTATTTTTCTCGACAAAGAGACGCTGGTAGAACACTCTTGCCCGTGGACGCCGTATATGAAGTAAGTACAATGCAAAGGTGTAATATTTCTATGTAAAATACAAGTTAATAGCGTTTTTAAATGATATAGCGAGTTGCTGATGCTTTAAAAATAGAAATTTTAACAGTCCAAAGGATCGTAACTGATGAAAAGTTCAAGAAAAAATTAATAAATGCCGAAAAAACGGAACTCGCTCAATCAATAATATAGGAACGTACTTAAAATTTTCAAAACAATATGAAGTGATCTCAGACACACCCTAAAACTCATATTTGACAAATAATGATGACGTAACGGTGAACGATGGCTGAACAGTCTTTACGTATAGAGAAATCAACAAAAGTTGAATATCTAATAAATAAAAATTCATTCGTTTGACATAATATATTTGAATTTTCTCCCGATTATATTTTTATTCAAGAAATTTTCCCTATAACTACTTTTAAATTTGAATTCTCAAAGTTAAAAATGGGTAAAAAAATAAAACTTACTTAAAAAATAAATGTTCGACTAGTAACGTTACTAGTCCGATAAATATACCCATTCCAAGTAAAATGAAAACTCCAGTAACAGCTGCGATACCCAGAGGTCGCGGCTGTGCTATTTCTTGGGCTAGTTTGAAGCAAGGGAGACCACCGTACCATTTTTCCTGCAGTATGTCCATGTAGCCGTTTGATGAGTATTTGGCGATAACAGCTGATATGCTATCCTACAAAAAATAAAACATGTTATCATTTTTAATGAAGCAGAAAATTTTGAAAAAAGATGTTTCAATAAAACTTCTTTGAAGTTGATGCTCAATGTTCAAATTCAAAGAATATTATTATGTCAAAACATTAGTGTCTCTAGTTTTTCATTTTCTTAACTAGGATGTTCTATATACAAAGTGAGTTTCTTACGATGTTCTCTATAGGTATTTCGGAAACTACTGGAGATAGAGAGTCGGTTAAATGGGGAAAGAATTGCATTTTGTGTGGTCATAAATATGCGCCTTTCATATTTTTGAAAGTTCATGGCTTACTAGATATTTCGAAAAAAAACAAATTTTGGCTGTTTTAAAAATTGTCCCTAGTTCCATTATAATCTATTTTAGAAAAAAAAATTCAGATAAAAGTTGTAAATAATCATCCCTAATGAATTTGAGTTCTCTGATTTTTTCTAAAGCCTGTCATTTTTGACATATGACACAAACATATGGAAACCAGAGTTGGCCATGACTTCATAAAAAGTGCCATTTTTAAGCTTTTCAGCGATATAAGCTATAATATGTTTTTTTCACAAAATTACTTTAGTTATAGCCGATTCTTATCTTTCTTGACTAATTTCACTTAGTTGGCATGGTGTTCTTATTTTGTTATGATTTACAACTTATAAAAAGACAAAATATATTATTAAACGGCTCTTTACAATTTACATTACACAAAATAAAACTTAAAAAAATAATATCACACAAACACTTATGTCAAAAATGATGGAAAAAATCGGAGAACACAAACTCATTAGGGATGTGATTATCTACAACTTTTATCTGAAAACTTTTTGTCTAAAATAAATTATAATGGCATTAGGGACAATTTTTAAAATAGCTAAAATTTGTTTTTTTTTAAATATCTAGGCCATGAACTTTTTCAAAAATCTGAAAGACGCATATTTATGACCCCACAAAACTGCAATTCTTTCCCCATTTAACCGACTCCCTATCTCCAATAGTTTCCGAGATATCCATAGAGAACATCGTAGGAAACTCACCCTGTAGATATTGCACCCACTGTGTAATCCAGTACATTCTAAAATTAAATATCATAAGCTAATATTTACACACTAGTTGGTCACTTACTATTGGTTTTCTTTAGAAACTTTTTCCAAGTCATACAAATTTTGCAACACAAACATGTCATGTACGGACAAAAAGTTATTACGCTTCAAAACAGTTAAAACACACGTAGGTGGCGCCCTCTACTAGTAGCAGTCATATTGACATTAAAATCAAATTTCTCATATCAAAGAACTCCCAGATACCAATTTTCATCCAAATATTGACGTTACTTCAGAAACTATTTGGCAAAAATCAAAATAAAACTGAAACTTCTACACCCTGTATCTCCGAAACTAAGTATTTTAGGACATACATTTATACGAACTTTTTTACTTATTTTTATGTGCAGAATATGTTGCCGCAGTTTCCGGAATACAGTTCAGACCACCCTGTATATCACTGTAGTCACAAAACTTCAATCTATTTCCGCATTATAAAGGAATTTTAAATCAAAATATATTATACAGGGTGTCCCAGAAATGAGTGCAAATATTTTAAGGGGTGGTAGATCTGGTCAAAATAAACATATTTTCTCTTTACCATTTTTAAAATAAATTGAAAATAACCGAGTTATTTAACTTTGAAAATTTAAAAAAATAATCGCAACATTTTGAGAACCGCCGGCAGATATCGCCAACTACATCCAATTACCCGGATCAAGCCCGGATTTCAGTTAATTCGACACACTGTGTTGCCATAGGGACAAGAAAGTAAGTAATGTTAAATGTAAGTCATAAAATCACAGCACCTGAGGAGTTTGCAAAGATGCATTACATTTTTAAGATTGTGATATTATTACATAAAATAAATTAAAAGTTAAATGTTTAATAATGTGTTAAAAAAGTTAAATTAAAAAACTTACCCAACATTAAAAAAGATACTTATGACAGATCGATGTAACTGTGACAGTTCTCTTTTTCGATATACACTTAACTAAAATACACTTCACTGTGCTGCTTTACTTGTACGTGCTATTATAATAACTACTAAAATAACAGTCCCCATTTTTAACACATTAATTTCATATAGGCCTCATCACAATTTGAACCACTGATTTACAAAACACCTTGAAAAGCACACATTACTTTGAATACCTTTCTGAATAAATGTTGAGAATTATTGTCTCTTACCGCCACTTTCCGAACTACTTTCAATCTAAGAAAATACATGTTTCACTCAACAATTTTAAATACATATTTTATTTTTTCGCTATTTTTTCTATGTATTTCGACAATTCCATCGACAGCCCAACTGTCGCGTCGGCCGTCAGCCAAGAGAGCGGCGCATCACTGGTAACTGCTCCTTTGTCGCGCCGCCGTGTCGAGCTTGCGTCATGCGAGGTTGCCGTAGTTTCAACAATTTCAAATTCAAGACACTCGAAGCAATCAGATTCTTATTAAATTTTAAAAATAAAACAGAAAAACATGAAAGGAAACAAACAAAACACAAATGAATTGGTTATTGATAAGATCACAAAAAAGAAATTTCTAAAATGTTTATCGTAATTCAGAATTCAATACATCGAAAACAGCCCGACGAATAATCAATTCATTTTTGTTTTGTTTATTTCCTTTCATGTTTCTCTGTTTTATTTTTAAATTTTAATACGAATTTGATTGCTTCGAATGTCTTGAATTTGAAATTGTTGTAACTAGGGCAACGTTGCTTAACATCGTCGTCTGACGCAAGCCCGCCACGACGGCGCGGCGACCGGCGACTCAAAGGGCCAGTTCACACGCGGCAGTTCTTGGCTGACGGTTAGGCTGTCGATGGAATTGTCGAAATACATCGAAAAATAGCGAAAAACAAAATACGTTGTCAATAATTGTTGAGTGAAACATGTATTTTCTTAGATTGAAAGTAGTTCGTAAAGTGGCGATAAGAGACAATAATTCTCAACATTTATTCATTCAGAAAGGTATTCAAAGTAATGTGCGTTTTTCAAGGTGTTTTGTAAAAGAGTGGTTCAAATAAAACAGAGAAACATGAAAGAAAACAAACAAAACAAAAACGAATCGATTATTCGTTGGGCTGTTTTCTAAATTTCTTGAATTGAATTCTAAATTACGATAAATATTTTAGGAATTTCTTTTTGTGCTGATTGTGAATAATATGAATCATTTTATTAAATTTATTCCAAAATAAAGTTATTTTGCAGCATAACAAAGATTTTCGTAAACGTGTGTTTTAAAACGTCATAAACGTAATGTTTTAGTTAATTTTCGGTGGTTTTTGTTAAGTTTTCATTGAAAGGGTAAGTACTAAAAATAATTAATGTGTTTTTTTTTTCAATAATTATTAATAATGAGCACTGATAAAAGATTAAATTTAACATTCCTATTTTTTTGAGTAGAAATTTGTCTATGAATTTATAAATGTAGAGCTATGTTCCGCCGAACTACGTAGAATGTGGATAACATAGGAGGTTGCAACACTGCAAGGTTTAGATACACCGTAGGGAAATCTCAGGTGAATAAACAAGTGGCACTAAAAAGTTTTTTCAAATTTCCCGAAAAATGTCAAGAAAAATTTTAAATTTTCAACATTTTTTTTCGCAAAAAAAAACTCATAGGCGTGTTTCTGGGGTTGAACTATACTACCAGTTAAAATATTTGCACTTATTTCTGGGACACCCTGTATATTGTAGTTCTCGAGAAACTTCTAATGCACGCCCAGCCTGGGTCACCCTGTAAAACTAAAGAAAAAGAAACTAAAGAATAAAGCAGATATTATTTCTATCTTAAAGTCTCGACCCCCAATTTTTCTAATTCACATCGCGTCGGTTAATATTCTGCGAAAATTCAACAAACGTCCAACACACGGCTTCAACCCTTCCAAATATCTAGCCAATGTTGCTAGAATTTCTATATTATTTCCGCTCGAAAGTTCGGACAGTGTATTTGCATAAAAATGCAAAACACACGGATTCGAAAATGGAGTTAATATTCGTGGCGAGGAGTTGTCGGAAAACTTGAAACGCTGCAGGCCCTAAACTGGCACGACGCGACCGACAGTTTTACGCTCCGGCTGGAAAAACGAAATAGTTTTTCTGTCGGAACAGCGAGAAAAACTTAATAAAACTATGAGCGAGAAGTTGAAAAAACGTCCCTAGATTCGAGAAGTTTTTAAACCGCTTAAAAAATGAAGTCTAAGTGATTAATTTTGTTTTATTTAATGACCGTGCTTTCGCCACTAATTTCACCCCTTAAAGTTTCATTCAGAAGGTGGAAATTAGTGGAATAAATTAGTGGTTTCAATTATACTTTATACTTAATACTTATATCTTTTACTATGCTCTCTGGAACAGCATGCGGCCCATCTGGCTGCCGATACCCGTTGCGTTCACTACTGCGCATCAAAAGATCCTATATTTTTTTATTTAGTCCGTTAAATTCTAGTATTGAATATAAATCGAACAAGTCTTCATAGCGCAACGCATAGAGTTTCCAACTACGAACCGAGGACTTAAAGGAAACTTTAAAGGACTAATAAAAATAAAGGAAATCTTCTTTCAATGCAAATGCACAGTAGGGAACGCAACATTTACCGGCAGCCAGACAGGCCGCATGCTGGTCCAGAGAGCATAGTAAACGATATATTAAAGAGGCAGACGTCTTAAAATACTTGTTTTCCCGACGTTGCTAGCTCTCATACTATTAGACAAGGCTATTAGGCTTTCTCTACGGATAAAACTGATTACCCCAAGCTGTTGCTAGGATATTCTATTAATTTTAATTGTGCTTTTAATCATTGTGAATGATCGTAAACTAAAAAGTATAAAGTCTAATAACTGAAACCACTAATGTATTACACTAATTGCCAGGTTCTGAATGAAGCTTACAGCTTTATACTTTTTAGTTTACAATCATTCACAATGTTTAATAAACACCAATAAAATTAATAGAACATCCTATCAGATGTTTTCATGGAGAAAGCCTAATTTTTAGCTTATAAACAATCAATTTTTGATTCCTAACCACAATTTCCCTTGACGGAAGATAACAAAAGGCCGCAATTTCTCGCAAATTTTGAAGTATAATTAATGGAAAAGCTAAATGTTTGATAACTTTTTCTACTAATCGAACATGTCTATCGCTAATTTTGATTAGTGATGGGAATAATCGAATTATTTTCACCATCGAATAATTAGTAATAATTCATATTTAACAATCGAATTAATAATTCGAATTATTTAGTAGTATTATCTCTGGTATTATAAATTTAACCTAAAAATAAATTCGTCCCAGCTAGTGCTCGTCTAGGGGCTATTTTAAACAAATTCTGAACCATTGCCATACCTATATTCTATCACTGAATAAAAAATAAAAAAAAATCTTTATTCAATGTATTCTATTAACTGTGCCGAAGCAGTTTAATAAGTTAAACCATAATTTAAAATTTTAAATTTAAAAATACCGAGTTTATGATTGTTTCAATTCCTATTGAAAAAAGCTCATATCTAAAATAAAAGCTTCTTCTAAAACGATATAAGTATGTCCTTGTTTACGTGCGGTTCGTATTTCTTTTTATTTTATCAGTTGCAATCAATAATTATTTAGATAAAAGAAGAAAATTAATTTTAGTGTTCGGTGAAATTTGGGTGGAGATGGAAATGAACCAAATAATAGTAGTATTCTTTCGTTCTGAACGAAATGAAAATTTTCACACAAACTACTACGCTAATTGAAACCACTGATTTATTCCACTAATTGCGAGGTTCTGAATGAAGCTTTTGCTAACTTGTTCTACTAATTGAAAATTACTACCACTAATTTTGACGTTCTGAATGCTTGCATATTGAAATTAGAGAAACAAACTTTCACGCTAGTTGAAATCACTGGAGGTTCTGAATGAAGCTTAAGTATGAATCCACCCCCAAAAAAAGTTTTCCTCCAAACCAACGGTAATAACTCAACCAACCATCGCATAATGATAGAATTGAATCGCGGAATTGGACAATCGTTTCCAAATTAAAATTTTATAATACCACATCCAACGCTTTGTGGTTAATTAAATATAGTAAAGGGGATGGTTTCGAAAGTCGGAAGGGGAAGGGAGAGGTTATCGACACAGACTAAGCGCGAATTAGATTTAATTATAAAGTTTACTCAAAAACTTTTTAATGAAGAATCTCGGCGAGTTCATCCTGGTGTAGACTCAATCTTATTGGGTCAATTTTTTCTATTTATTTCAGAAAAAAAGTTTTGTTTGGTAGAGTTAATTAAAATCAGAGCTTACGAAATAAAAAATTACTTTTTTTATTTTTTAATTGGTAGAGCCTGTCCAATGAGAGAACACATAACAATGACAGTTGTGTTGTTCGATCTGTCGAAATTTCCCCGACTCATTGGACAGAGTTTGGTTCAAAATATAAGTGGTTTGTTAAGCTTACCTTTAGGGGAAACCCCTTGGTCATTCCAATAGCATAAGCGTCCTCGTTTATGGTATCGCCGATTTTCTGCAGTTTACATCCATGATCCGTCGCTCTGTAGTAATCCAAAACCGGCGTATCTGCTATTAAAATATCCAGAGACCCGTTTCTAAAATTAAAAAAAAATAAAACTTTAAATATATTTATTAATAACAAAATATCAAAATATTACCTCAGTCGAACAACACCATCTTCGATATTTTCTAAAGTAAATTTCTTCATGTGTTGCCACAAGAGCTGATTAGCTTTTTGAACGTAGTATTCTGCAGCTGATGATCTGGGAGCACCTACTTTTTGACTTAACAACTGAAAGATAAAATTAATTAAACGGTTTTATTTAGCTCGACCCGTACGGTATTTATTTATTTGTTTGTTTATTTGGGTCAAAATTAGAAATTGAAATTTAAGTACCTTCCTGTTGTCAGATGGATCTGAAATTTGGTACACACCTTTAGTTCCGATGACAATACAATATAGTAATATCAATAACATTGTAAATCTAAGATGGCCGCCGGTACAAAATGGCGGATTTCATATTTTTCCACAACCCCCTCAATATGGGTATCAAATGAAAGGGCTACACTAGTAGAATACTGTGATTATGACAAAATTTAAAATCCAAGATGGACGTCGTTACAAAATGGCGTATTAGGTGAGGTTATGAGTAGTCGTGTCCAAGATTGTGTGACGTTAGAAGGACAGATAAAAAAAAAATAGGTGATTAGATGTACCTACGTAGTTAGCGGTAGCTTTACCACCCAAGTTAAGGTAATAGGTTAAAACGTGCTGAGGACTGTATGGCATCAGGGTGGCTAAAAATGTAATGTCGCAAGCGTTTTCCCCTCAAGATTGGGCGCCTCTTGTTGTATATTATAGCCGTGCCCCTCTACTGGACCTCTGGGGGGGTCGACCGTTAAAATGTCCATTACCCGTGGGAACAACATGTAAACAATAAATAAAAAAACAAACAAAAATAAATTATCAGGTAAAAAACCATGTAATAATGATGCACTAAATGAATTAAATAGAATGAGGAATATTAGGTAGGCATTTCCGTTAAATACTAAAAACTAGAAAATAAAAAATCGGTAAAAAAACTTTTAAGTTAAACGGTTTTATCTTATGTGCACTGAAAACTAGAAAATAATAATAACAATTAGGTATTTTGAACTTCTAGTTCAGAAATATTTTAGTACTAGGCAGAATAGCTTTTAGGCATATTAGACTAAAACAAAAACGTGGGGCCCCTCTGAAATCCAACCTATGGCAAAGCATATCTTTATACATTGGTAGATCATGAGCTCGGCATTCGCTGGTGAAGCCGCCTGGTTATTGATTGTCAAAATCTCCAGTTACGATTATTATAGTAAGTCGATGCAATCCACACTTACAGCAATAGTTAATGGGCCCTACGTTTTTATTTTAGTCTAATATGCCTAAAAGCTATATTCTGCCTAGTACTAAAATATTTCTGAACTAGAAGTTCAAAATACCTAATTGTTATTATTATTTTCTAGTTTTCAGTGCACATAAGATAAAACCGTTTAACTTAAAAGTTTTTTTACCGATTTTTTATTTTTAGAATAAAGCTTCATTCAAACCTCGCAATTAGTGGAATAAGTCCGCCTCTGTTTTTTTTAAATATTTAATCTATTCATCGTTACAACATTGATAACCTTTCAAACTTAACAATGGAGTGGCGTAAAACATTGAATATGGAAAATTGAATGCAATAAAATAATAAAAAATAATATACAAATGAATACATTACTTCACGTCATTTGTGAAATCAAAAGTGAAATCAATATATCTCAACATTTACAATAAAGAGTACGAAGTATAAGAAGAAAGTTCAAAGAGCTATAAATAAAATTGACCGAAAAATAAATTAGTGCATTAGGGAGGGTGGTAACCCTTTCGAACATGTAGAGCATTAGAAACTATTTTGTAGAAGTTCGTTTATTTCTAATAACTACGATTAATATTACGCATATTATTAGTTTGCTTTAAAGCACATTGAGATTTCAAATTCACAATAAAAAAAGTTAAAAATAATATCTTTAAATTGCTCACCTGGATATAATTTATTTGAATATTCCAATTGGCTGGATTTTCCTTATTCAATGTTAATTAGTGCTGATCAGTATTGTTGCGATGAATATAATCAGATTAAATAATTTAAAAAACCAGAGGCGGACATTTAATGACATCTTGGTGAACATCCCAAAGCGCAACTTTGCCCTAATTTATTGCCCCATGTTCGTATCTATTACGATTACCGAGATACCAATGCTCGTACTTTGAATATGTAGTACCCTGTTTACCTTTTAGTTTACGATCATTCACAATGTCTAAAAGACACAATTAAAATTAATAGAATATCCTAGCAATCATTAGTGAAAAAGGTTAAAATTTTATTAACTTTTTCTATTAATTGAAAACGACTACCACTAATTTTGATGGGTATTTTCTAGACGTTGTGAATAATCGTAAATTTTTAAGAAAAAGGTGTAACTGAAAGCACTGATTTGTTCCTCTAATTACAAATTCAAGAAACTACTATAATGCTTTACAATTTTCTTTCAATTCTTCTAAACTTACGTACTAACAAAATATTTCTTAGTTTCTTATACTTCGTGATAATCAAGAGATAGTTTCCCATACTGAAACTTCACCGGAAACTCAATATTAAGTTAAATTTAACTTTATAAATTCACTTTAAATGAAACTTCGCGCTGTCGGTAATTCAACTGACCGCCTGCTTTGACGCTAAGCGAATGACATCCGTGATTAATCTTTGATACTGGATTACGTTCAAACGGAAAATTTAATGAAATATCCATTTAATGACCGGCTGATTCGATGATAACGCCGTATTAAACACGGTTTTGATTATTTTAGAACGATATTAGTAGGATTAATTGCGTAATAGTTACTCCAGTTAGCAAAGTTTAATAAAAAATACGGAAAAACGATTGTTACTAAGGTTTGGGATTTTATATCGATTGTATATAGAGTTATTCACGCTATTCGACACAAAGTATTGTATTGTAGTTAAATGATTAGATTTTTAGAAAATTCAAAAGTACCGAGTGTCTCAAATAAATAAAAAAATATCAAAACAATAGACAATAAGGGACCCAACTGCAAAGGGAATATCTAAATATATGAAGAAGGCTACACCACAATTGGTAGTGTTTGAATAAGCTGAAAATGATAATGATTAAAATAAATGTACCCTTGATTGAGGTTTACGTGACTTAAATCTTATTGTTTTTTATATATTTACGTTTTTAAAGCCACATTATGCACTGATTTTTTTATTTGCTAGGTATTGAGTGTGGTAATAATAAAAGTAATACTACACTATACGAGTGTCTAAAAATGTATTATCAATAAATTAGCTTTAAACCACAATAACTTATTTAATGTACATAGAACACTCTGTATATCTCATGAGTAAGAGTCGATTTAGACACTGGCCAAGTTGGTAGGTTAGGTTAGGTTAGTTAGTCGTGTAAACAAAGAAGGCTTTGTCCATATTAACCTTAGTAGCAAAAAGGAGACATTTAAAAAAACTGTTTTTTTCTCAAAAAAAAAACTAATAAAAAATATTGAAATTTTCAAGGATAAAAACGGCCTAACTCAATAATTTTCGAGTATTTTTCTATCGAACTTCGCAAAGCAAAAAAAAGGACGATTCGGACGATGCGACGCAGCAAATTACAGTGAAGGACTTGCGAACGAAAGTGGATCCGGCTCTGTGAAGGATTATCGAGGCCATCGGGCCCGACATCGGCAATGATTTATCTCAATTTCCGATAAATAAAGTGCCTGATAAATCGCCGCCATCCGTCAATGCCAGTAATATTCTCCGATCGGTGGACTGGAGCTGAAAGATTCAGGTGGCATTGATGTTGTTTGATTCGGCGATTACGTTTGATGTGTTTATAGCAATAGTGTTAACGATTTACTGATTATTGTTTGTGTATCTCAGTTCCAAGAGGGGGTGGGCAAAGATTGAACGAGTCACCATTTGAAAGAGTGTAAGAAATAAACCGTCAGATTTGTTCATCCCTTAGAATACGGATCCTTCAATTGAATCGTGGGCAGCACGAATCCATAAAATTCAAACGAACGAATTGTAAAAAAGATTCGTAAAAGAATTGAATGGAATTACAATGCGACTCGTTCGTTCAAAGAATCGTGAGAATTTATTCATTGATTCATTTCGCTTTCTTACTATTACATAACTTCTTAAAATATGAGACTCATTTTATTAAAATTTTTAAAAAAAATATATGAAATTGACTGCATTAACTACAGTTATTTCTCTTATAAAAGATACAGTTATATTGTAACAATCTACGCATGCTGACTTACAAGCATTTGCTTAAAAATCATCGTACCAACATAGAATTCGTTTATATGTATTATGTGAAAAATTAGGTTCTGAGCTCTATTAAAAATTCCTGACTACCGGTATATGACTTTTAAATCTTTTCATATTATTTGGAACGTTTGAGATTGTTTAAAAAGTCATTTGTGGGGTTTGAAAAAAAAAATAGCTTTTCGGAGTAAAAATGACTTTTTTGTGCCTCGGCTGTATGTCAAACGTACAGCATCGCCGCAAAAAGTGTAATTTTTACTCCTAATAAAAAACAAAACACTATTTTTAATAATTCGATATTGAGACTATGGATATATTTAAAATATTTGTTTACACATTCCTACTTACACTTCTGTCGTGGTAATTACTGACGGTATTATGAAAAAACAGCCCCGCTATCAAGGCCGCGATGTTCGCAGTGTAGCTCGCCACGAAAATAACGGAGAATCCGCCCCACACGTTGATCAGGAACTTGTTGGGCCAACTTTTCGGCGCCTTGAACGCCACCAAGTGACCGCAGAGCAGGCCCCACATCACCCACAGAGCCGAACTCATGCTGAAGTTTTTCGAACGCTGACGGCCCCAAGGGTTCAGGCCGAAGGGCGATAGCCATTCGTAGATGGCCACAGCGATGGCGGTGATGTTCAGACCTGAAACGGAAAAGAGAAAATAGTTGGGTTTAATTTAGTTTGGAAGTTTCGGATTTTGTTTCTGGTTAGAGTTGGAGCTATAGAATCGGGGTAATTGAATATGTTGTGGAGTAGTGTGTTTTATCCATTAGACTCAAGTTTAACAGATAATTTTTACAATACAGGGTTAATTTTCAATTAACCCTGTATAATAAACTAAATACTAAAGTTTATAAAAAACTGAGTTTATGAATTAAACTTGATAGATTTATACAGGGTTGTTCACCACATACGACACGGAGTATTGTAGCCAAACGATTAGATTTTTACAAATTGTAAGTTTTGGGTTCGTTGAAGGTCTATTAGAGCTACAATTTAAAAATATTTTTACAAGATACAGAGTGTCCCAAATAAGTAAAAAATATTATAGTTGTATTTTTTTTTACTGAAACACCCTGCATATTATTCTATTTTTGGATTCTACGATTGAAATAAAAGTAAATTTGATTAAGGTTTATCACACTTAAACCTTACCGTTTTTGAAATATTTTCAATTTTATGAAATTGCAGTAAAAATTTTAAGGCCTTATTTCTCCCAGGGTATCAAAGGTTTTAATACTAAATATTTACTGAAGATTATTTATTGATCGGATATTGTGTTGCAATTTATATTTTTCAAAAATTTTACTACTTTATACAGAGTGTCTAGCTTTAAACGGCAATAACTTGTTTAATTTAAGTGGAACACCCTATATATTTTACGTGAATCAGATGCACAATCAAATTGTATTAGACCATTTTTTACCCATCTCTTCAAGTTTTCGTAGAAAATGCATTTTCTTATAATTTAGACATCATTTATCACTATACCCATGGAATATTGACATTTCAGATTTTTTTATAGCACCATAATATGTACAAAAGGTACAGGTGGTAAATATTGCAAGCCCATTGGCATACAAAAAAAACTATTTAAATTATTGTAAAAGAGTATACTAATTAAATATACCACCATTATTTCCTGCCAAAAACACCAAAAATTAGTTAAATACATACTTTTAAATTGTTTTAATTAATAAATTATTCTAAATAAATGTGGATTTGGCTCAGAAATCAATATAATAATAAGTTATGAAAATGAATGTCTCTATTTTTATAAATAAGCATTCGTCAATAAATGAAATAAAATTTATAAGGTGTTACTTTTTACCACACTGTCTAATACACACACAAAATTCAGTTTTTTAGTATTTGGAGCAATTATTATTACAACGTAAAAAGTCAATTAATGTAGTTTGAATACTGGGATCATATTACTTAGTCCTCTTTAACAAAAACTATTTAAACAGTTTTTTTTTATTTTTTAATTAAATAAGCGAACAACAATATTAATATCTGTAATTTTTGAAAACTTGTTACATCTTTAAAAATAAGCTAAAATGTCAATATTCCATGGGTATAGTGATAAATGAGGTCTAAATTGTAAAAAAATTCAGTTATTTCATTTCATAATAATTTAATAAACTTATTATATTTTCAAAATTTGTATTTTTGGAAAAAAATGTAAGTCATATTAATATCAAATATTTCATAAATATGATTTATATAATTCAAATAAACAAATGAATATATTAAACTCTAGCGTAACCAATAATTACTACAAAAACCTTTTTATATAACATGTTAATTGAAAATTGCATAAATATCATTCAAAACGCTGTTAATAATTATAATGTTTAATATGCAATTACTAAAATTTCTATTAAAACAAAACTTATCACCGCCTAATATACAAATTATTTATTAAATTAATTTATTCCTGTTTTGAGCTTTTATCATAAAATATATTTATTTATTTATTAAAATATCTAAAACATTATATTTATCTGATTTAATAATATACAAAAGTAATTCTAAATCACTAAAAATTCTTATATTTATATACCGTATGTATCACATGGTATTATGTTGTCTACTTAGTTTTGTATAGCTTAACTTCTATTTTATAATAACTGATTAACATAGGTAGTTATTTGTCAGCAGTTAAAATAACTCTTGTATAAATCGTTTAAAAAGTTAGTCTTAAATGTTTTCTATTGTTAGATGCAGTTTATCTCCTGCACACAAAGAGTGCAGCAGCTATTGTGCGAACACCTGAACTCCGTAACGTTGCAGGACAATAAATTCATTTCCGCGAACGGAATTCGCAATTATTTTCCACTAAACTGGAATTTATTCGGTGTGGATAGAACCATAATATCGGATAAACAGTGTCATGTCGGTTATTACATTAATAGTAACACAGAAATTGATTTTTTTTTTTGTATTTTATGACATTAAAGTATTATACTTAAAAATTATAGGTATCGAGTGGTGCATCGGAACAAGGGATAGGTATATTTTGAAAAGGTCAAATAGTGTCTTGTAGCAAAACCAAGACCAAAGATACTTGCTCATAACTAGATACAAACAAAAGCTAGATTTGTGTTCTAAGAAATTCTAAAGGTTTTTTTAAAAATTACGGAAAAATGCAAGAAGATGGTGATGGTATTCCTACTGCAATTTTTACGGACCCTGAAGAATCAACTCACTTCATAAAAAGTGTAAAAAAAGTAATTTTTTTCCATAGCAACTGTTAAAATTGCCTTATATCTATCAAAAATAGTAGATAAAATATATAGTATAGTACTTTAACCGCAAGTGTAGATTAAATGATATTTTAAGAGAGAGGATAGGTTAAAAACTTTATTTATTCTCACATGTTTTTTAATTCCTTCCATTTTTGAAAATTTTTGTATTTGTTTTCATAAGTTATTCGGGAATTTAAATGGTAGTAGATTGGATATGGCGTTTGTCGCCTCAGCCTGAATATCTGTTGGTAATTTACTTATTTCGTTTTGAGCCATTTCTCGCTCCAATTCAATCAGCAATCGACACGAAAGAGGATTATAAAATATTGACTCAAAACTGACAACTAAAGAGACAGCTTTATTTATTTGTCAAATTACATAGAAACCAACGCCAACTCAACACATTATTTTTTCTACTCGTAATAAATTCCTTGAGATAATAATTTCTGAATATTTTTTAAAACGTAACTCGCTATGGAAACAAATATTGTTTTGTACACGACGATAAAATTGCATTATCGTAAATATACAAGACGATAAAATACATTTTATCGTCTTGTATAAAAAATAACTATTGTCCAACTAGTATATAACTTTAAACGCTTCATATGGGTGGGTAAAACACTCCTTATTGTATGATTGTAAATAAAAGACATTTACTTACTTATTAGAATGGCCACCCAAAGCTCCAAGCTGAAGGGCAACAGAAAGGCCATCAGCGGTATGTCTGAGCGCTGTTGTGGAGCGGCTATAAACGACACCCCGCTGAAGAAGTAGGGTGAACTGAAGTCGATGACCTCAGATCTAGCGCTGGAGACGCTGAGCGCTGCGAAAGACATGTGGGCAGCACCGCTGACCAGGTCGCCAACTATACCGTTCCATTTGCCGCTGGAAGCTGCCAATCTTTCTTCGCGTATGTTTTGGTTGGTTCGGCTGTTTTCGTCTTTGACTCTGTAAAACAATATTGAAAGGGTTTAAATAATTCCTAAAAAGTCCTAAAAATCAAAAGGCGTAATCTACGGTAATGTAATTTCGATTTAGTTCTTTGATTTCTTTTTTTTTAATTTCATTGTTATTATTAACGTCATATTTTTTGTTGTTGTTAAAGTGTCATGTTTTCCGATAACTATTATCACCTTTTCTTTTAACATTTTAAGACAGAAAAAAATATGGTATTAATGAAATGTCAATCAATAACAATCTATCAAAGAATATAATAATAGTTATGGAAACGGAGGCATGAAAATGCACTAAATTTAAAAACTGCGAAATTTTCTAACCAATCGAAGTCTTTTTAATTTTAAATTTTTAATTACCTAATCCAAAATTATTTATTCTCTTTTTTTCTTTATTTTATCAAAAGTTGTACATAAACAAAAACCTTGAAAGAAAAACACATCATTAACACGATAAAAGCCCCACACAATCCGAACCAATAAAATCAATTTTCCCCCAATATCCACTTACCTGTAACTGAGGAACGTTTTTCCCACATCCCTCCTGATCCGCTCCTCCCTGGTCGTTGGTATTCGCGCGCCGAACAGCCCATCTGCTACAATGTATAACCTGGTAAAGAGGAGAAATGGAAAAAGTTAACCGAAAGCGAAACTTCTTCGACGAATATTTATGGCAAACTTTTTAAGATCGGGCCATAGGCGGTAGGGAATACTAAGTAGCGGTCAACATGGCCTATTGTTTCTTTTTTTTATTGATTTAAAAATGGTGTAGGAAAGCTGATAAACGGAAAAAAAGAATATATATTGGTTAACCTTGGCCTTCTTTGCGTTATCGAAAAAAAACTGTACTCTTTTAGCTCTTGTATTATATTGTTGTTGGTTCTAAAATTAGTTCTCCTCTGAGATTCAGTTTCAGATGAACTAACACTACACTCATCTACAGAAACAGCTTAAAAAATGTCACAGCCACTATCTGATTTATGATGTTCATCAGTACGATTATAGAAAGATGTAGTTTTTGTTTCTGATGTTGATGCTTCGGCTCGCAGTGATTCCTTTTGTTTAATTCTTCGGTAGAAAGTACTAGAATATCTAAATTTCTTTTTATTCACCTTAGGCATTTTACAAAATGTTACTAAAACTTTAAAAGTTTAATAAAGAAAAACTTAAACAGAGCAGCGCACGATGCAATCTGACGCAATTTTTAAACATTTATTAGGGTGTATTAAGTTATAGTCACTATAAAGTAGCCGTTTTTGATCCCCGTGACTTTTTAGTGGTAATGAATGAGCGACGGCTACTTTATAGTGACCTATTTTGTTGCTTTCAATGCTACTATAAATTAGAAGTAACTTAAATTGTTACTATAAAGTAACAAAACTTAATGGAGGCATTATGGCACTTGTAACCCCTACTTTGAAAAGTTACTATAAAGTTTTCGGTTTTTTATGGTGTCATATTCGAAGATTTGGGTAGTTCCAGCCACTTCTTTAATTTACATGTTTGCGACTTGCAATCGGGGTGCATATTATATGGCATTCGAACAATTTAATTTTTAAAATAGATAGCCACATCTTCTCTTTAGGTCGAATAAAATGCTCACTATCCCTTAGGAATAAAAACCTAAATCATTACCTGAAATCAAACTCCAGTTCCTGAGCGATGTTCTCCAGCAAATCCATCGACAAGCCGTAACAGCAGTTGGTGCGGTACTTGAACTTTTGGAACGGAAAAAACTTATCGTCATCCACACCATAGTCGTTCTCGTAGCGCGTGTAATCGCCGTAATCCGGGTTTTCCGCGTTGTTCGATTCGTCCTCCTCCTCCTCGTCCTCCAGTCGCTGCATCTCGTTAAAAACTAGGGTTAGGTTGTCTTTGTCCGAGGTCAAGACCCGATGACATGGAAGACCTGCCAACAAAGGAAACATTGAGTTAATTCTCTATTGTTTCTAAATGCAGAGACTTTTTTTGAGACTAGAGTTTTCAAAGTTTTTTGGAAGCCGGTGAATGCTTTGTTTTTAACGGAAAGATAAAAAAATGTCTGTGGTTTGATGAGTTCAGTTTGTGGAAACAGCACCCAACTACTCTGGATTTTTTGTCTGTATTTTGTGTATTAAGTGTGTATATTACTTCGAGTGTTTCAAACATGTTTGAATAATTAAGCTGGCTTTAAAAACCGATATAAAAATGTACAATTAACTTTTATTATATCTTCTACTAGCGTGTACCCGCGACTTGGTTCGCGTCGAATTAATCGTTTGTAATGGTGATGATAAAGCAAAAAAATGTCATTAACATACAAACTGGATAAAATTTTCTCAAATTTATGTCAGCATGAGAAAAAACAATATGGCGATATTATTATATAACTTGGTAATATTTGAGGGGTAGTTTCATCTTGTTGGAATTTGACTTTCCAAAAATCCGTTTGCCAAAAATAAGCTTTTTACGTCAAGCAGTTTAAGCAGAATCGTGGTTTAGAAATTATCCTACTTTTTGAAACACCCTGTATGATTTTAAAAAAAATCAAAATATGTAAAAAACCAAAATAAATTATGCGTATTTAAGCGTTTTCCCGAAAGACTAACCGTTTTTTAAATAACAAATATTGTAATATTTGAAGGGCGTTTTCACCCCCTTGGAATTTGAGATTCGAGAAACCCCCTCTTATCGAACCTCTACCCCACAGTCAATCCGTTTGCCAAAAATCAGCCTTAAACGTCAAGCAGTTTAAGCAGAATCGTGATTATTCAATGGTCATATTTTATGAAACACCCTGTATAAATTTTTAAAAAATCTTCAAAATATGTAAAACAACAAAATAAAATATACGTGTTTAAGAGTTTTTCCGAAAAACTAACCGGTATTTAAATAAAAAATATTGTAATATTTGAGGGGTGGTTTCACCCCCTTGGAATTGGAATTTCGAAAAATCCCTTCTTATCTAACCTCTACACCCTAGAATCAATCTGTATGCCAAAATTGAACTTCTGTTGAGTGGTTTGAGCAAGATCGTGATTAATCAGTGAGTCAGTCACTTAAGGATTTTATACAGGGTGGCCCATCGAAAACGTTCCACAAGGCATAACGGCCAGGATAATTTTTTTATCAGAAAATTCAAAAACACGTCAATTTTGTTTGTGAGGGGGACAACTTGTGCCCCAAAAATTATTGCAAAATCTTCAACCCTCTAAGCGGGGGTGTCATCCCCCGATTTTTTTCAAATGGGAAGGGGGGTCAATGAAAAGGGCTTTCTATTCTTTATACTTTCCTGCTTTGTTTTTGAAGATCGGTCGAGTCATTGGGAAAATATGAAAGATTGAAATTTGAAAAGTCTTTTAATCATTTATCAGAGTAAATGATAAGGATAAATTCCTTCGACCAATTTGCTGTTTTTTCTTATTATTTCTAGATGTTTGCAATCGGGTTGCGCAGATAATCAATGAACGCCATCCTGACAAATACCTTTATGGCAAAATTGTTCGTCAGTTAGTAGCAAAATTTCGCGAAACTGGTTGCGTTATGAATAAAAAGAGGCAGAGGGAAAATCCTGTAGTAAATGAAGCTATGGAGGTATTCGTATTGGGCCAAGTTGCCATGGACAGTATAATGAGTACAAGAAAATTAGCCAATGAGACCGGCGGGAATCGTACAAGTTTCCAAAGTTCCACCCGTACAAAATTCAGTTGGTACAAGAACTCAACGAAGACGATTTTGATCGTTACTTGCAATTTTGTGAAGCTATGAGTGAACGAGTGGCGAATGATAATAATTTCTTATTTAATGTGTGTTTTTCGGATGAGTGTACTTTCTTTTTGAACGGTGTAGTTAATCGGCACAACTGTCAGTACTGGGCTGATGACAACCCCAGGGTTTTTTTACGAGGTGCACACACAAAACCCTCAGAAATTGAACGTGTGGGCTGGTATTTTTGGAAATTCTATTGTGGGCCAGTTTCACGATATTGAGAAGAACTTCAACGTAAAAGTCACAGAACAGCTATCTAGCAACTACCGCACCTGATCGTTCAACCTTGTGGCAAGTGAAAAAATGCGTAAACATCTAGAAATAATAAGAAAAAACAGCAAATTGGTCGAATTTATCCTTAATTATCATTTACTCTGATAAATGCTTAAATAAACTTTTCAAATTTCAATTTTCTTCATATTTTCTCAATGACTCGGCCGATTTTCAAAAACGAAGTGGGGAAATATAGAGAATAGAAAGGTCTTTTCATTGCGGCGCCACTTGACCCCCTTTCCATTTGAAAAAAGTTGGGGGATGACACCCCCGCTTAGAGGGTTGAATATTTTGCAATCATTTTTGGGGCAAAAGTTGTCCCCCTCACATAAACAAAATTGACGTGTTTTTGGATTTTTTGAAAAAATAAATACCCTGGCCGTTATGCCTTGCGGAAAGTTTTCATTGGGCCACCCTGTATATTAGTATAGATAATGGCTAGTATGTGACTGATTTGCATTGCCCATCAATTATTACAAATGAACTAAAAGCGTGCCTGAGGTAAGCTGTTAATTGCAGAAGATAGCAGTAGTACCAAACCTAATTTATTTAAAAATTTGTATAATTTTTTAAAAAAATTTTTTGTAGTTAATCAGCTATTCGGGTCTGAGAGGAATCGAAGAAATTAAATCCTTAAAATCGGTCCATCCTTTCTTCAGTTATGTGTTATTTAATAATTAATATTGTTGTAAATAATTATTATTTAGATTTATTAACTTTTTTAGAAATATGCAAGAAAAATATAATTCGAATTACAGAAATTTCGAAACGTTTACTTCATAAAGACACAAAATAAAACATGTATGTGTATTAAATGATTTTAAACTGACACACCTACCCCTGAGGCACTGTCCGTCTTCGTCCAGCTCGCTCTCCATGACGAAAGGAGGCGCCACCGCCGTCACCACCCTGAATACGGTCCTGGCTCTGATGGACACCGCGGCCACCGATAGGTCACCGCCTGGCCAGATGATAGTGTCCAGCCGAACATTATGACCGGACACCATTCCTACGCGTTTCCACTTCAAAGCGCTGGTGGTTTGCAACAGGTGGTCTGAAAAGAGATAGTTGTGATTAATTTCATTAATTATATTACTAATAGAATCTTGGGTCTCTAATTGGGGCTATTTCGCTACTGCGCAACCCATAACATTTGCAAAAAAAATCCAAAAAACATTCTTTAGGCAACTTGAAATTTGTTTATTCTGAAATTTTAGCATCTATTTAACCTAGAAATAAGTATGCCAGACTTTTTTTTCGGGTTTAAAGTGTAACCAGACCATTCCAAATATGTGTAACTATTATACCTGGAAAACATACTTTAGGCATTCTAAAATTTTTACAGCGTGTTTATTAGATGATATTAAAAAATATGTGTTAATTGCCAGACGAATTCAATGGGATTGAATACTTGCCTGACGCGAATAAAGATTTTAAATGAGCGCGACAAAAAAGTCTTATGAGTATCTATAAGCGCGAGAAAGATAGTTTATTGAGACTCGTCGATGCAGCTGATGTAACAGTATTTTGGAGTAGTTCAAATTTTCATAAAAACAATTTTTTTTCGGATTCATTTCAATTACTTGCAGGCTTTTAATTCAGAGATTATTTTGTTGGAATTAAGTTACCACGTACAAATATGTATTTATAAATTAAATATTGATGTGCATAGTGTAAATAGTTTAGAATAATTACTGCAAATAAATATTTTAGTAACTACTAATTTCGCTACTAACTACTAAATCACAAAGGATAAAAAACATTTAAGTTGTGTAGTTTGTAAAAAAGTTACTAGTGACAAAGTTATTGTTTTTGATGAAGGCAGAGTACAAAAATGCAAAGAATTTTAAAAAGCGCGCCAACAACATGGTTTAAAATTTAAAGAAGTGGTTTTACCAGAAAACGTAGTCCCGACAAAAGGGTACCATGTACAGTGCTAAAAAAAATAAGTATTCTGGAATTTTAATAAAGTACCATTGTTAATCTTTCTAAATAGATTCAAAAGTAAGTAAAAGTACTTTACTTTTATGCTTAGGCGTTAAAATGACTTTTATATTCTCAATCAGGTCGCAAAAATTAATAATTATATATACATACAAAAGTATAATAATAATTATTGTACTTTTGTGACGTTTGAAAAAAATATATTTTATGTTATGCTAATTTTTAAATAATTATTCGTCTTTTTATTCTTTGAGAAACAAAATACTTAAATAATTATAAAGTCTTCTTATTGAAAGGATTTCAATCAAACATTTTTATTAAAAAATGTTTCTTTTTATTCATTCAATATTAGTTAGTTTTTTTTTTAATTTTTACTACTCCAAAATGATGGAGAAACGTCAGCCGCATCGGCTGCCGACGGGTCTGAATAAACTATCTTTCTCGCGCTTATAGATACTCATAAGACTTTCTTATCGCGCTCGTTTAAAATCTTTATTCGCGTCAGGCAAGTATTAAATCCCATTGAATTCGTCTGTATTCGAAGAAGAATTCGTCTACTGTTCGAAGTATGTTTTCCAGGTATAATAATTAAACATATTTGGAATGGTCGGGTTACACTTTAAACCCGAAAAAAAAGTCTGGCATACTTAGTTCTATGTTAAATAGATGCTAAAATTTAAGAATAACAAAATTTCAAGGTGCCTAAAGAGTGTTTTTTGGATTTATTTTTTTGCGAATGTTATGGGTTGCGTAGTAGCGAAGTATCCCCAACCCCCCATCCAGACTTAGGATTCTGGGTTCACCAGTTAATAAACTATACATTTTTAGTTATTCTAGCTTGCCTAAAATATGTTCTCTAAATATGTCGTCAGCTCTTAGGCTATATCGAAATAAAAGTTAAATTTCTACACCCTGTATCTCCGAAACTAAGCCATTTAGGACATACATTTATCCGGACTTTTTTACTTATTTTTATGTGCAGAATATGCTGCCGACGTTTAGGGAATACAGTTCGGATCACCCTGTATTTTGTTCTAGTGGGCCACTTGTGATAATTTTTTAAGCAATATGTAGCTAAATTATTTGAATTTTTAGTACCTCTTTCTAAATTAGAAATGAAAGTTCCCCATCTGTCAATTGTACGAGGGAAAACAAAAGGTTGATATTTTGGTAAAAGTTTCAAACACCCTGTAGAATATGTTACGACAGAAAGGAATTTAAAGATCATTTTATCATCTAGGTAAATCCTTTCTCATTAATTTGTTTTTTGGTTCATCTTAATAACTTTATTTTTGTTGGAGATATTCGCTTTTTATAAAACACTAAATTTTTTTCCTAATTTTTACATTAAAACCACACGTTTCCTTTGATCCTAGTTAATAGGTAAAGTAAATTGGACTGGTAAGAATACAGACCACAAAAATTGCAGCATGGTACACTATTTATTTTATAGATTCAAAAATTCTCCACTTTCACCTAACTTCAGTAATATTATCTTAGTCCTATAACGTACGTATTAATACGAATTAAACCTCCTACAAACAAAACCGACGGAATTGCTACCAGCATTATACCATTGGCCTGACTAATAGCAAGAAGACAACGCCAAGAGAAACTGCCGACCAAACTAGTTCCAGAGCGCCGCCCAACTAATTGCTAACTATTTCACTTGAAATTTGACAAGATAATGTTTCTCCATTGGTTTTACGACAACCTGGAGGGTGGAATAAGGCAGGACGCTCGCTGTTTGCCGAGTTACAAGCTAGGGTAGTAATTAACCCTTAAGATAGGGATAAAGTAAATAAGTAGAGAAAGGGAGAATTGAAGATTAAAATTCCTACGCCCGCCAGAATTTTTACCAAGAAAAAATCCAAACCAATCTATTTAGTGTGTTTCGTTGTGAAATCTTTCGTCAACTGGACAGTACCAACAAAGGATTAAAAATAAATGGAGAATATCTCAACCATCTAAGATTCGCTGATAACATAATCCTAATTGCCAATAACCCTGAAGAGCTACAAACACAAATTAACAAACTAAATACAGTAGCCAGCAATAAAGGGGGTCTCAAAATTGAATTTAGCAAAAACTAAAGTAATGTATAACGTAATAGTGGACATAAAAGGCATAGAAACCTAGAAGAAGATCAAATCTGAGATGGGACCACGATATTAGGAAATTAGCAGGGATAACTTGGGCCCGCGTAGCCAACAATACACAACTGGGGCCAACAATAGACTGCATAGCCAACAATAGACTACAAAATGGGCCCAACTATAGTCTATAAAATGAATAACTTTGAATTTTGACCGTTATTTTTTACCAACATGGCAAATATAAAATCCCTCTGTCAAAAAAGTTACTGATATTCTTTAAATTGAGTGCCTGAACGAATCAGATAGGTAACTCTTTTTACTTTCGTGAAATAGAAAAGGAAAATAATAAAACAAGTGACAGTTCTTCCTCTTCTTGCAAAAAACAACACGAAATGTCTTAATTGCCAAAAGTAAAATGTCATCAGCTTTTGACATTTCTAAATATCAAACCAATGCCGTCTCTAATATAACAGCCTCGGAACGAGATTTATGACGTCACGCTAGTTAGATACTAAGGATTAATAAGTATGTTATAAAATACATAGAGAACATAATTATTCCTCGTATTTTTGGTTTGTATTTTAAAAATGATATAGTTTACATGAAATATACATAATATACAGTTAATAAATACAATATATATATACCTATTTATATTAATAAATACTTTGGCAAATAAACTATAAACCATCAAATGCACCAAATGTTTTACAATATACAAATAATGAATAGGTACATAAGATAATGGGTAAAATGTAAAATATATTTTAAATTTTGGGGTTTGAAAACCGATCTAATTTAACAAAAAACGTTCAATATCTACTAATAGTGATGTATTATTATTTGCATTCACAAAATTATATGTATATTTTGCAAGTATCAATGTTCGAAAAATTATATTTGCAAATAATAAAATATCATAGAAAAAAAGGCGTCAGCGATGGCTATAAAATAAAGATCGCTGTCATTTTATATGTAAAATTATTCTAAAATTTTTGATTTTCTTGGGATTTAGGTTAGGATGGAGTACGATTTCAGCCATAGTCAATGTAGATAGTTTTTAGTGTTAAGAATAATAATTTTAAAAAATAAACAAAAACAATAAATAATAATAAATTAATATTATTTAATATCATTAAAAAAGTTATTAACTGCATATTATGTGTATTTCATGTAAACTAAATCATTTTTAAAATACAAACCAAAAATACGAGGAATAATTATGTTTTCCATCTATTCTACAACGTATTTATTAATCCGTAGTATCTAACTAGCGTGACGTCATAAATCTCGCTCCGAGGCTGTTCTATTAGAGACGACATTGCGTCAGCATGGCCGCAAGTTGCTAACCTAATAAAATTAATACTAGAAAAGCCCGCGGGAACTGTCAAATTCAAAGTTATTTGTTTCACAGACTATACAAAGGGAGCATAATTGGAAATGGTTGAATAAGCTGAAAATGATGATGTTCATGATGATTTTGTAATGTATTTTTCTTTTGCATAAGTAAACTAACTATTATTTATAAATGAGTCCTTACATGTTTATTTTTGAAATTTTTGAGTTATGTGTTTCTATCAGTGAAACCAATATCACTAGCACTATATTTCGAAAATTTGAATAGTATATCCTTGTAATTTTGAGGATTTTTTTATTTTCCCATAGTTTTTAGGATTAATTTAAATGAAAGATAAAAACAATATTTCAATTTCTCTTCTCTACAAAATGATAAGTTGTTTTATTTTATTTTACTATTCAACGCCTCCTTGTAACTGCAAACTATATTGCTATACACTTGTAAAATTCATAGTACACCAAATGTGTGTTTTTTTTAGAAAATCAGCGTTATTGGAAGAAGTTTCAATGAATTTTAAAACAAGAATTCATCAAAAGCTCGAAGTAACAAAAAAGGCTCTTAAACCAGAAGACTCACTACAAGGATCTTGTAAACCAGAAGACATACAAAGATAGTAAAGCTTGAGAAAAGTTGATTTGCACTTTGATAAACCGTACAAAATAATGTACTGTACACTTATATAAGTTTTGTATATTTAGTATCTCGACTGTAAATTTGTGCCTTGAAGAAAAATGGTCTACATATGGCTACCTTTATTTCGTAAGTTATTATCTTTGAATAACTTACCTGTCGTATAACTCCTATTGTTAAAGCTACGTTCAGGAACTAAATTAAGGATCTCAAAATTCGCAACTAATGATTTGTCCACTTTGTCAACGCCAATTTCTTGATTTGAGATTTTTTTCCCCGACAAGGCTTCCGTGCAGGCCCCTTTCAAATTCCTGCAACAATAAAAAAACACAATAAATAACAAAAATAAGCTGTATATACGCTAGAATTTTCCCATTTAGCTAAAAATTTTGAATGCACGTATAAGTAATTTAAAAAAAAAATGAAGAAACACATTACTAAAAATTGTATTAATCAATAATAAATATGTAGAAAGTAAAAATAAATATGTAAAAATATGTAAAAATTAAAAAAAAAACGATTAAAAAAAGTCGCCTTGACTAGGATTCGAACCTGCCTTACTACGGCTCCCACGTCATAGCAGCGTAAAGTCCTAACGCTTTAACCGAGGACTTGAAAGATTCTATGTAAAATTCTTATTTAAAAGATAATGTTTAGTGAAAGTACTTTTTTGTTTATAAACATTTATTTAATTCTGTTTTTAGTATTTGTTCTTATAGCGCCAACATAAATAAATTACCTGTAAAAATTTCAACTGTCTAGCTATAACGGTTCTTAAGATAGACCTTTGTGATAGACGGACAGACGGACAGCGAAGTAATAGTACGGAACCCTAAAAATGACAAATAATGCAAATGAGCTTATACAGTCTCTCCAAAGAGTCAAGGAATATTTCTACAGCTGACGTCGAAAAAATTACAGAAAATACAATTTACCTATGAATTACAATGACTGACACATCTACTACTATCATGGATCCTCACATTGGACAGACTGTAGTCAGTCTTTTCAATTGAAGAGTTATCTAAATAAACAATCGAAGGTTAAATCTAATTAATTCCGCCCAATTAAGTATTCAGATGCAATTTCTGTTAGAATAAGGTGTTTCAAACTAAACTCGTCCATTAACGAACTTTGTAACAGGCTATTTAGTTCGAAAGTTTGTTTCGGAAAGGGTGTTTGGGAATTTATTTGCAGGAAATTCGATTTTAATTTATATCGACGATTGCTTTATTTGTGGAAGGAAAACCAGTACAATACAAAACAAATAAAAAATACCTTGCAAAACGGCTTTTTAAAACAAAACAAAATTTAATATTAATTTTGTTATAAACTAACGCAACTTTTTTGTTGTATTTTTGTTTATATTTGATTATTTATCCTTAGTAAATTATTTAATATAGTTTGAAATTAGTATGTTAGAATATATTTATTTCTGTCGTTACTTTTTAGAATATCAAAAAACTAATAATTGCTAATCGTTAAAATATTGAGATAAGCTTTCATACTTAACAAGGACGTGGGTTGAATACGGAAAATCAAATGGAATAAAATAATAAAAAATAAAATAAAATAAATAATATAAATATAATGTAATATAAACAATAAAATAATTTCCCCGGAAGATGAATTGGAAATGGTAAAGCAGTATAATGGCCAGCAAGGTTCCCGGACCTGTCGTATTACTTGACGACATTAGTAAAAGCAAAATCAACACATCTCAGCATTTACATTAAAGCGTACAAAATGCATTCGGAAGTATAAGGAGAAGATATGTTCAAAGAGCTATAAATAAAATTGAACGAATAATAAACTTGTGCAATAGGGAAGGAAGGTGGTAACCCTTTCGAACATTTAGAGTATGTAGAGCATTAGAAACTAGTTTGTAGTTGTAAGTTAATTTACTCATAATAACTACGATTAATATTATCTTATCTGAGCTAAATGTTCTTTAAATCTAGTTAATATGGATCTTCTGTTTGCCCAACATATTTCTGATTACAATCTTTACAATTTATGAAATTTCTTGTAAAGATCTAATGCATCTAATTGCCTGTAATTTGAGACTTGTTTAATTAATTTTAAATTATTAAGATCTATACAATGTTCTTTATCAACAATATGTTCGGCAACGCAAGATTTATCCGGTCTACCATATCTTATCTGAGCTAAATGTTCTTTAAATCTAGTTAATATTGATCTTCTAGTTTGCCCAACATATTTCTGATTACAATCTTTACAATTTATGAAATTTCTTGTAAAGATTGTAATCAGAAATATGTTGGGTAAACTAGAAGATCAATATTAACTAGATTTAAAGAACATTTAGCTCAGATAAGATATGGTAGACCGGATAAATCTTGCGTTGCCGAACATATTTTTGATAAAGAACATTGTATAGATCTTAATAATTTAAAATTAATTAAACAAGTCTCAAATTACAGGCAATTAGATGCATATGAAAGCATCAGAATTAATAACTGTAAAGATAGTATGAACAGAGTCAACGGTCCAATTCCTTCAAGTTCTTTGTTCCTACTACTCTAGTGGCGGAAATCTAACTGTTACGCTCAGTGGGCTCTGACTCGGTTGGCTAGATTTTTTCACGCCCACTGGGTGCCCACTGGGCGAGTATATAAACGCTCAACTTGTAGATTGTACTTTAGTTTATAATCATCTGCTGATGATGCTAACATGGTTAGCGAAACGGGCGTCCAGTGTAAAAGTAAAAGTGTTTTGGTGTATTGTGGTGATTTAGTGTTTTTATTTTGCTGTGTAACACCAAAGGTTCCAACCCTCAACTGTAATATGTCAAAAACCTTAAATTTTAGTGATATCTTATAAAAAACCTTTATTTTTCTCCCAGAATCCGAAAATCAATTCATATTTAGGGTGTTTTATTACAAAAAACACAACTTTGATGTGTAACTTTTTTGGGGGATACCCTGTAGAACTCTCTATATTTTTAAAAAGTGCTCTGAATTAACCTACATATGCTCACAAAATTTCATTTCAATACCAACTGTCGATGTCGTTCTCCTTGTATCCTCCGCGGCGCCGGCGTATGAGAAGCGCCACGCTGTATATCCAGAAAATCGACAATCGAAATCTTTCAAATTAAATATCTCGGAAACTGAGCATTTTCGAAAAACAGTTTAAATGGGGCGAATGTAGAACTTTACTAGCTCTATCCGTAGAGGCTTCACTGGCCGTTTGGCTACTTACCGTTTCCGAGAGGAAACTTACATCTTTAAATGTAGTGACCAAACGCCAAAATTTTCGAAGTGGCTTCCACGCTTAATTTCAACGTTAACACCTCAAACATTATTTAGAATCATAAAGAAAGGTCCCCTAAAAAAACTCAGGGGATTTCGTATCTCTACCGGACTAAATAGTAGTTATTAACTAAAACAATTTTAATATGAAATTCTGGTAAATTCACCTATCAAAACACCCTTCGGCTATATATCGTAACTTGTATCTATCTAGCCTGGAATTCCACTTCGTACCTATTACGATAGCCCAATGACTCGTTTATACGGAGGTTAACTTCACCCTCGTAAAGCCAAACAAACGTCGGCTTCCGCTGAATATATGCATGATCATTTCGGAGTCGCACAGGCATCGATATCGATAGCTTTAACAAGCCAGACTTGTTTTGTTTACTGCGGACGCTGCTGGAGACCGGAGAAGCGGTAAATGATTTAGTAATAGTCGCGGATTGGAGGGATTTCAATCGATATTCGGGTAATAGCTATTGAATGTTTTTGTATTTTTCATGGAAAAATATATTTTTTTTTGTTGTTGAAGATTTTTGTTAATTCTAGTCATCGAGACGTTTGCTGAAGAAGAATACTGCTGACTAGTACTTGACACGCATCAGGAGATGCGTGAAAAGCCCGATACGTGATGTTATCTCTCTCCATCTAACATGATGGGGATTATTATTTCTCGGTACACTGCAAATTTCTTTTTTGTGTGCTGAATTCATGATTGTAGAAATCTCTGTCTTTTAATTTCCAGAACGCTCTTGAGGCGCTGCTAATGCTGTGCTGAATTTCAGAGTCGATATTGGCCTTTTCCAAATCAAACTGCCGAATTGCGAATTGAATTCCGCTTCTTCTGCTTAAAGTGCCTATCGTCTATGGATATTGCCTATCACATTGGTCCATATTACTTTGTTCACTGCCGTTCTGAACAAAGCTGTTGACGTTATTCCGGTCCATGTTCGTAGATTTCGTTAGCGTTCGTGTTAGCCACGATATTCGTTTGCGTCCCGTTGATCTTTTGCCTTCTATTTTCCTCTGCATTATGAGTTGGAGTAGGCGGTATTTATCGTTCCGCATGATGTGTCCGAAGTATTCCAATTTTCTGCGTTTGATATTCACCAGAAACTCCAACTCCTTGTTGATGCGATGTAGTACAGTCTCATTTGACACGCGATGCACCCACGAAATCCTAAGCATGCGTCGATAGCACCACATCTCAAATGCCTCCACACGCTTGCATGCTGCGTCGGTAAGGGTCCACGCCTCTGCTCCATACAGAAGGGTTGAAAGTACGTAGCATCTCAGGATTCTGATTCTAGTGCGGACGTTGAGGGACAGATTGCATAGTATATTTTGCATTTTGTTAAATGTCCCTCTCGCGATTTCGATTCGATGTTTTATTTCGCGAGAGTGGTCTCAGTCTTTAGTCAGGGTGCAGCCCAGGTATCTCAGCCGCTGGGAGAACGATGTTGTTAGCAGTGAACTGAAAGTTGTTGATGTAGTTCTTGCTAATGATCAACGTTTAAGTCTTCTTGCAGTTCATCTTCATTCCGTATCTGCTGCATGTATTCGCCACACGATCTATAAGCCTTTGGAGACCTTCAGCGGTATCGGGCAACAAAACGGTATCATCTGCATATCTCAAATTGTTTATTATTTCTCCGTTTATTACGAGCCCATCTTCTGTGTCATCCAGTGCATCTTTAAATAGATGTTCCGAGTACACGTTGAATAGCAGAGGCGACAATATACAGCCCTGTCGCACTATCCTCCTTACACTAAACTAATCTGAAGTTTCGTTCCCAATTCGAATCACGGCCTTTTGTTGACGATAAAGTTTTGCTATTATCTCTGTATCTCTATCGTCTATTCCTGATTCCTGTAAAATTGAGATGAGTTTGTCATGCTGGACTCTATCAAAGGCCTTTTCGAAGTCTATGAAGCACGCAAAGACATCTACATTGTCGTCGCGTGCTCATTGGATTAGGACTTGTATTGAAAACAGGCCTCTCTGGTGCCCAATCCCTTTCTGAAGCCGAACT